AGTCTAATGTGTCTTTTATTTTATATTTCATTGTTAATTCTCAAATGTTTTTGTTTTAACATTGTTAAAATGTAAAATTGTTAAAATGAACAATATAAAAAATAGATAGATAAAAAAGCAATTAAATAAGCATGAATTAACAGGTGAATGGTACACGGATGTTGTTTTATTTTTTAATAATCATGCGTTTCTTTTGGTTTTTGGGTGGTACAAACAAAACAAAAATTTCAAAGGAAACTATAATAATAATCTCAACATTGATACAGCTCGGGAAAAAAAAGTGTTTAATTTAAAGTCATAAAATAATGCAAATAACTTCTTACTTGTTTAAAGATAAATCCAGAATAAAACTGGAGCCAAAAGCGTCTAACTGAAAGCTGGCCTGGGCCAGGTGGACTGGCTGAAAGAACACAAACACAGTAACACAAGTCAGCGCTGGTGTGACACACTGTACAGTCTATAATGTACTACACTGCACAAATAACACATGAAAACATACATCAAAGTCACATGGCGAACTCAAAAGGACAATCGCTTTCATATTTAAAGACTCAAAAAGCCAAAGCATTCCTTATGTGTAAACGACATGATCAACTATCAACGCACACAGCACATGGACTCACCTGGCCCTCGGGGACTTGGTTTTTGGCTTTTGTGTCCAAGTCATGATCTGGAGTCTCTGAGTCCTCGTTCAGGTAGTAGACCAGGCGTGAGGGGTAGGTGATCACCAGCTCTGCTGCATGATGTCTTGTGTTGTTTGAAGCAGGTGCTGCAGTTGCCTGTTGCTCCAGCAGCGTTAGCACTGCATCCCTCTCAACCTTTTCCTCCACTTCTTGTGAAACTGCAAAATGCATCAACATCACTAAAGCATACTTTTAGAAAGTAATGTATTTGAAATGCATTGATTATTGTCTTGGATTGTTGTTCATCTTAAATTTCAGCCATAAAATGTCTCTGAGTCTGATCATTTCTGATTACTGGAAGAATACTTAGTCTGCAGGATGTAGTCTAGCTACAATATGTAATGTGTATGCAAACTAGCAGGCTGCAAGAACCAGAAGCACGTCTTGTATGTCACTTTATCTGTAGGGCTATACAAACGATGACCTTCTCCCCAAGCATAGAAATGTGATTTTGTGAGAGCATGCTGTGCAGAGCTGGACAAAGATGATTGAGTGTGCCTCAGTGCAGCCTCACGCACACTATACGCAGTCTAGGGAGGACCATAAGTCCCATAGCCAGATGCAAAGATTAATATATATATATATAAATGAACGAATCTCCATGGTCTGAAAGTAGGCCAGGCTGCAATAACATGTCACAAGATCAAAGTTAACAACACACAAGGCAATGTGGCAGTACGTACCGAACGAGGCTAGTGATGGATACAGCCAACGCGAAGGGATGCTGACGAGCAAAGTGGCCAGACATATCAAATGCATGATTCATATTTGAGAATTGAAATATCTCGGTATCAACACGTCAAGGCGGTGGTAAGCTGGCGGCCCATCGTGGTGGGGAGGTACTGTCTTCATGGAACCCAGGGTAGAAGCGCGCATAGGCGGCAGAGACAGACGCGGTGCCGGGATGTGGTGCTGCTTCTGCTGCTGCAATAGAGCTGGAAGAGGAGGAGGAAGAGGAGGAGGCGGAGGAGGAGGAGGAAGGCGGTGGCCACAGCAGCAGACGGACACAACCAAACACGCAGCCTCCCTCGCTCCCGCCCTGATGCCCTGCACTTCCCGTGGAGCCCTGAGCAGCGGACAGCAGTGACTTGAAAGACACGCACCTCACGCACCAGCGGCTCCAGAGAGATGTGATCAAAGCATCTGAATGACCTCAGAGACCGGTGGGTCCTACAGGCTGTGGCAGGGAATGACATCCAGCTATTGCCAAAAGGGCCACAGCTTCATATTTCTGGCTTTAAAAATAAATATGAAAATTTGACCTGCTACTTTTTTTTTGTTCATCTGTCAATAACGAACGATTCGGACTCTGAAACAGCCTTTCTATTAAATAATAATAATTTAGCGCTTTTAAATACCGTTTTTTGGAAACTTCTTCTTTTTCTTTTTTAAACTTTTACAACAAATGTTTTCTTTGAACCCTCCTTTTATTAAGATGTTTCTTCTTTTTGAACCTTAAGAATTCCGTATTAGATCAAAATCCTAATGAAATTCAAAAAAAGAAAACTGTTTATGTTGGATAACCATACAATGCACCATTTGACAATTTTTAGATAAAATGAAGAAGTTAAAAAATAAAACTTCATGTGCCTAGAGGGTTAATGATTTGGATATGACTTTAAATTATTATTGTTATTGTTGGTATTTAGTAACTTTATTATCATCTTTATTGGTATTTCTATTCACATCAAAGTTGTTGCTTATTTGTGCCTTTCACTTCAGGACTTATGAGTCACAGTATATCACTGTGAGCCATAAGCCATATGGCTTTCAATATACTATGACTTAGATTTATAATTAAAAATCACTCAATTGAATCCATACTAATGACAGACCTATAGATATGTGACGTTAGAGGTCATTGATGAAAAGTTTAATAGATTCAAAGACATAAGATGGCATATATTTTCATCACATCATGGCCAAAGTTTACGGCTTTGAAAGAATACATAGCCACAACAACAGTGACCTTCTGATAGCAGTGGCATATCAGACTGTTACAGCCGTTTTGGATTGTCAAATACGCTCTTTGGCTATCCAAAGTATGTATTTTACTCCATGCACGGGCTGGCAATCTGCGCCATCTGCCCTAGACATGTGTCTTGCTTAAGGGGTGGGAGCACAAAAGTGTTCTTAGCCCACTCCTTTTTGAGCCAAAATAAAATAATTAAAAAAATAATATTAATAGTAAAGTCGTTCAGATCTATACAGTGCTTTTAACTTTAGTGACTGGTATGCCCACGATGATACAAAAGTATTATTTTTAAAGGCAGTATTTTTGTCAGGTTTGAAAAAGGAATCTTAAAACAGAATCATGTTGAAGATGTGGTCTGGTCTCCCATAGTGTAACCGAGCACTGCTTCTGAGATGATCCATCTATGAAAAGTAAGTAAAGTTCACATTTAATTTCATTTTATCATCAGAAAATTGAAATAATTTTCCAGCAAAGATGCGTCAGTGTTGATGTGGCAACAAGGTCAGATTTTCAAAGCGAATTGGAGTTGTTACTGTTTGGAGACAGTGTCCCCTGATGTAAGCGTGCGTGCCTGAGTTTACCCTGGTGTTATTATGAAAAGCTGCTGCGCTCCGCGCTCAATGAAAGCATTCTTCTTTCCAGGCGGCTGACCAATAACATTTCTCCACTCTGCGGTCCATGTGTGACGCGTCAGACTGGCGCGCCTCCTGTTCATCTGGGCAGGCCGTAGCAGAGTTTAGTTTGGATGGACTCACGGAAAGATTACACATGCCACATCAATACTGGAGAGGCCGAGAGGGGAAGTCACGAAACGCAGCTACCCCACAACTACCAGTCTAGTCCGGTCTAACGGGGCTATAGCGGGCGCTCCATGTGCCAGCTGCCTCCTTTCATCCGAGATTTGCACTTGGGGTAAGACTTTGTTCAACCATAAAGATGACTTCATATTTTTTGCAGTGTGATGTTACAGATGTGTTCAAAACGTGAGACATCTGTAGGCAGTATTGATACGCATGCCTTCAACTGCGTAAAAGAGAACATCCATAAGTCACCTCCGCTTCCCACTAATGATAGACCTGGTCATAAAGCTGCGAAATGAGTGTGCTGTTGTTGTTGTGTTCCAAGAAACTCACTCTTCACCATTATTACAGCCATTTCGATGTGTTGTTGACGGAATGCAATGCAAACGGAATGCAATGTATAAAAAGTATATTTCAAACTTCTAAAGAACACTATAATGGCCTGGACATTCTGTTTTTGGTTTGGTTTAGTAACAGGACTTTATGTATCAACCTCTCCATGTAAAATAAACAAGGCTATGATTCATAAAAGGGTGGTCTGGGACTGGGTGCATCTCCATTCCCTAATCATTGTTAACACTGTTTTTCAGGGGTTACATCCACCACACCCTCTTCTAACTTCTCCACAGAGAGTGAGAAACCGCGCTCAGGCACAAGGACAAAAAGAAAGCTCCAAGGTGAGCTGAAGAAAGTATGTGACAAATTATGTTATGGCTTTACTTGGAATGTACCTCAGCATGATATAAAACATGTACATTAAGTAATTACAGATGTTTACTGCTCAAATACCTGGTTTCTTACCACACACATATTTTTCCCCTTACTTCTATGCTTGGAAGCCTGTAACTCAGATAAGTTAGCTCACAGTACAAGTGATAATAATAATTTAAAATAATAATAATAATAACTTTTTTGACACATGGCACAATTAATTCACTCGATAGTGGTGCACTACTACAGTAGCTACAGCTGCCCTGGGGCAGACTGACCGAAGCAAGGCAGCTAGTATGTGTATACTGTATTAGGCAATGTGGGTGAGGAGCAACACAGTGGCAAATTGTGTTTCCAGAGGTCTCCCATTACAGACCTAACCTGCCCTGCTTAGTTTCTGAGGTTTAACAGGCTTTCACAGGCTTTCACAGGCTTTCACAGGCAGATTCAGATTCACTTTAGATCACATCTTGTTACATGTGCATGAATAAAACAAGCTTAAAAGTACAGGAAACAATTGTCACTGTGAGGTATCCAGGTGACGCTACAAGAAAAAATGCATGTTTCCAAAGGAAGAGGCTAATGTTTCATTTGCTGCTGAGAAACTGAAGGTTATATGTTAAACATAGTGAAACACAAGTCAAACAAACTAGCATAAAATTGTGGTTGGAAAGCTCCAAAATAATTGGTAATCAAATGTTTTCTTACTTTTTCCCTACTTTGCTGCGTAGAAGTAAGGCCACAGTTAAAGAATGATACTGATACTAAATACAACATTTAAATATGTACAGTATGTAAATTTGTTTTTTTGACTTGCAGTACACTTGAACAATGGAGCACAGTGAGGACTATGAGAACTACACTTATGACTACTATGTAGAGTACGGTGATGTGGACGACGTGAAAACTGGCCATCGACAGAAAGAAGCCATGCACATCATCTCGGTCGTCATCTACATCATTTCATTTGTCCTGGGCCTGATAGGAAACGGAACTGTCCTCTGGGTGACGTCCTGCAAAAGCAAGAAAACTGTAAACAGCATCTGGTTGCTCAATCTCGCCCTCGCCGACCTTGTATTTGTGCTCTTTCTACCTCTGTACATTGACTACATCCTCCGGGAGTTCAACTGGGATTTTGGAGTGGTCATGTGCAAGCTCAACTCATTTGTGATTGTGATGAACATGTATGCCAGCGTACTTTTTCTAACCGTTCTGAGTGTAGACCGATATGTTTCTCTCGTTCACCTCAATTGGTCTCAGAGGCATCGTACTGTGAGGAGGGCGTGGCTTGTGTGTGGATGTGTTTGGGTGTTGTCGGCGGCCCTCAGTTCCCCAGCGTTGATTTTTCGGGACATTATGAAGTTACATGACAAAATAGTGTGCTTTAATAACTTCCACGCACATGACAGCCACTTAGCCGCAGTTAGACACATAGTCATAGTGGCCATACGGACGACCGTGGGTTTCCTCTTGCCATTCACTGCTATCTGTGTTACGGGCGTACTACTCACAATTAAAGTGCACCAGTCTGAACACTCTGTGCGATTCTCAAGCTTCACCAAAACAGTTTCTGCCGTTATATTAGCTTTCTTTCTCTGCTGGACACCTTTCCACATATTTAGCCTAATGGAATTATCAATACATTCATCCTTGCACCTTCATAATGTATTAAGGACTGGCTTTCCTCTTGCAACAAGTTTAGGGTTTTTTAACAGCTGCATTAACCCTCTGCTCTACATGCTCTTGGGGAAAAAGGTTCGGCATATTTTGAAGCGTGCGTGTCTCAACATCACCAAGAGTTCACTCCGAGAGTTGAGCCAGTCCATTTCTGCCACAGAGATGGAGTCAGTACCTGAGGCCTTCCAGGAGAGCCTCCCAGAGGAGCATGTCGCTTCTTCCACGCTCTAATAAAAACTTTTTGGGTTGGCATGTACATACACTGCAGATATAGATAATCAGAATCAAAGTACATATATAGTATAAATTATATATATATTTAAAGCTACCAAGGGTGAATAAAAAGAAGAGTCTAAAGACTCAGTGTTAAAAACGAGATAACTTGATGGTAGCTAAAGTTTATGGATAATTTATATCTAGACTGTTTCAAACTGTTACTGTTCAAAGATAGGTGTGATTATAGAATGTTTTGATGGTTCAAATGTCAATGTTAATGTAATAATTGATAGTTTGTCTTTTTAATAATCCACACATTATAGAACTTTGTGTATATAATATAGTTTACATTGTTCGGAATAATCACTAAATAATATAATGTTGAATGATGTATAATAATAATGTATCGGCTTCATATATAATTTCTACTTTATCTGAAAATAAAGAGACCGTTGAAGAATATGGCTTTCCAGCAGATGTTTAGGATTTCCCTGAGCTCCAGACTGATGTATATCTAGAGTTGCATTTCCTTCCTGCTCCTGAATGTGCAGTATGTTTCCAGATACTAGTATTTCCTGTTATTTTCAACTTGTCTCATCCCTGGCGGATCCCTGTCTGTTATTGTCTCGACAATTAGCTTGGAGTCAGATACACCCATGGACTTATCACACACATGGACTTATCACACCCATGGACTTATCACACCCATGGACTTATCACACACATGGACTTATCACACACATGGACTTATCACACACATGGACTTATCACACACAGACTTACACATCTTGATATCCTTACACTATCCTGTTAGTTAGTGTAATAGGATGTTAATGCACTTACAGATGTACTCACCATTATGCAGATTACGCTGCTTTGATGGATATTACCTGTAAACATGTCTCTAATTTGGAAACATGTTATTTATGTTAATTGACAATTTGTCTAAAAACCAAAATACCTTGCTTCTATATATCTAAATGCAGACTTTGTATCAAATCAAATAAATGCATTTTTGCATAGTCTAAATTCACAACAGTCATGTCAAAGTTCAGTGCTCAAAAATAATGCAGATTAAATAATGTTCACAAGGAATCAGGCTAATAATGGCAGAATGTCCCTGAACATTCTGTTAGACCAGGGCTTTTCATTCATTCATTCATCTACTATATGAAGAATTTGATATAAATGCTTTAATCAACATTGAAAATGTATTTTCTGTATATGGAAGAGTTGTGGGGGGAGTAGATTGTTTGGAGGGCTGCAAGTTGAACAGGCCTCAGGGTTAGTTTGAGGGTTAATCCTCCTTCAACAAGAACACTTTAAAAACCCAGTGCAAACAAGAGAAACTAAGGAAGAAAACTTCAGTGAAGGAGAGATAAACTCCCATGAATGTGTCCATCTGAATGTGTGTGTGTGTGTGTGTGTGTGAGTGTATATGCGCGTGTGTGTGTGGGTGCGTATGTGTCTGTGTGTGTCATAGTGAAAGTAATGCAAAAGTAAGCGTTTTAATGTACTTCGGTGAAGAGTAATCAGAATAATAATGTAAAAATAACAATACACTGTTTTATTGTTTGTGTCTGCCTGTACAGACAATTCACAAACTAATCAATTCAATTTAGTTTTAAACAACCCAAAATCACAATAGTAGTCATCTTGAAGAAATGTGTTTGCATGAGGAATTTGCTTATGGTGCAACAACAAAACAATAACAATCAAAGTGATGTGACAGGTGCATGGATTTTGTTCCTTTAACTGTAAAAGGCTGTACTCATAATATCCCATAACCTTTATGGTGTCCTTTTCATGCACACCACATTTAAGATGAAGAGATCCTTTAATTAACCCCACAGTGGGGAAATTTCAGTGTTGCCTCACAGGTTACGAAACAGTCTATTCTTAAAAACTCTATATCTCTATCTTAATAAAGTATATTACTTACATGTTTATACTTTTCAATCCTTTGTGTATATATACACAAAGTATTGAAAAGTATAAACATATAAGGCAAGGCAAATTTATTTATAAAGCACCATTCATACAGAAGCAACCCAGGGTGCTTTACAGGCACAGAGAGAACACTAGCAAACAATAAAACATTATAGGAATAAAAAAAACATAAAAAAATGAAATGTAAAAATATATATATACACACATCATACACAACTAGGTACAGATACAATAAACATGAATCTGTAATAGTTACAAATATATACATACACACATATGTACACACACATACATAAGGTATACACCTGTATACTCTAAAGAATTATATACTTATGTATGCATAAATCTATAGATTATAGTTTTTTTCAAGCAAAGTCATCAGCTTAAACGACAAAATGATTAAATATTCATAGTGATGAAACTTACTTTGTCAACATAAAAGTTATTTTTATAGTTTGAAAATGATAGCACAATATTCAGGGATTGGACCATCTAACTTTCTGCAGTCGCCCATCACCAGAGTGGCAGTGTTGGTAACTCATTCATGTGAAGAAGAGCTAAAGTCCAGGTTGATTTTACACTGTGACACTTTCTTAGAGATTTTATTGTATTATCACTGACATGTCCATACAATTAAATAACAGAAATCACCTCGCCTGTGCAGAATCTGGGATTTTTGTTTCAGACTAGTAAACTACAACTTCAAAAAGCAAAAAAAACGTCTTTAAAGAAAGTTGAATTTCCAATATGGTAGGAGAGGTTGTTGTTGTTGAGCGGGCTGTTGTCATGTCCCCGCAGTGCCTGTAGTGGTGCTGTGTGGAGTCTGCTGTGGATCCCTCTAAAATCCCCAGCAGTCTTCCTACTGCTTATAATTTGTTCTGGATAGCCTATATTGAAATGCATCCATATTTTAGATATGAGGAGTTCGATGAAGATTGCTATTAAGATCTCATCTCCGATATCGATGCACATATAGCTTAGCTGATCGTAGTAGACTATTCGGCCGCCTGTGTGGAGCGAATACCGTGCACAGCCCATACCAATTCAAGGTAAGCACTGGATGAAGCCTCGGCCTCGATTTAAAGGAGCCGCGCCGTAGAGCCTCCAGTGTCGGCTTCGCGCTCTATGCCAGCCCGCTGCTGCTGCGAGCTAAAGGCCTCTAATGGTGATCATGTTTTTATTGCCTAGAACTAAATTAGAGAGTCTTTTCTGGGCACAAGTGATCAATGGTGACTCGCTAACTCTTGATCTCGTCCAATGTCACTAACATTATGTAACAGCAGGCTGTAATTCATATCACATTTTAGGAGGCCTGGTGGTACAGGCCGTGAGCCTAGATTTACCCTTTGTTTGGATCTATTTGGCAGAATCTAGTGTCTGTGACATCCTGTTTCTATAAATTGGCAGCGAATTTTATTACACCAATGTAATTGTGTTTTTTACCCCCAGATAAAATAAATAAAATAACATTTTACTATGTTCCTTATCCGATGTTTCCGTTTCCTGGTTAGCTACCGCCCACTGATGTGTTTTTAGCTTTTGCTAGCTTAGCGTGTTTTTTAATGTCTTCCTTTTAATGTTTTTTTCTTAAACACATTCATGTGCAGTAATCTATTGATGTTGAAGAATAACTTTAGTGTACTTCCACTGCATTGATTTTGTACAAAGTAAACCTTTCGAATGTAACATTAATGCTATTACTATAGAGAGCAGTGTACTCTGATGGACCTGCTTGGCGATTTTTACTTGAAGATGGTGTACTATTTACAGCTGTTAATTCATATTGAACTACAGATGTTGCAACTGCATTTGTTAAATACATTGTTAAGCTGTCCTGCAAATCACTATATATTTCAGAAACCATATTCACTAGTATGGATAAAGCTTACTTACTTGACATATGCCAACATTATAGGCAGACACATATGCCAATATCTTTGTCACAAACTCTGACTTAATATGTTTTTGTCTCCCTCAACTTTACCAGCTCATGTTGTCAGGAACAAGAGTCACGTGATGTATGAAGGCAAACACATACACTTTTCTGAGGTTGACAATAAGCCGCTGTGCTCATACAGCCCGAAGCTCTGCAAGCAGCGCAGACTGAACGGTTATGCCTTCTGTATCAGACATGTGCTGGAGGATAAAACGGCACCCTTTAAGCAATGTGAATATGTGGCCAAGTACAACAGTCAAAGATGTACAAATCCCATCCCCAAGTCAGAGGACCGCAGGTATGTTTTAGCCACATTACAAAATATTTTTGGTACACAGCTGTACAGCCATAAATAACTTTTGTTCCCTCTTTTTTCAGATACTGTAACAGCCATCTTCAAGTCCTGGGTTTTATTCCGAAGAAAGAACGTAAAAAGAAAAATGACACAATGGAGGAGATCCGGTCTCGCGCTCATCTGGAGTCAGTGGCTCTTAATATAACTGTACCTTCTTTAGCTTTAAAAGCTACCAATGGCCTAGATGAACTTCCACCATCGCCGCCATGTACCCGTCTACTAGCCCTTCCGGATGGAGAATTACTGGACCCTTTTGCCTTTTATGAAGACGACACAGACGGAGAGGAGATAAGTACTCAACGGAAAGGCAGTGTCATCAAAAAGAAGCTACAGAGTAAACTAGTGCTCAACAAGAAACTCTGCCATGATACAGACCTCTTCCAGGCACCTTCGGAGCACTTTAGTCCATCCCCTGTGTCCCGTATTCACCCTTCCTCACCCCTCAACACTCACCTATCGCGGCACCAGTCAGGTCTTCAGCCAGTCCAACACTCCAGTGTGACTTCCTTTAGCTTTCCAGGGCAGCAACAGCAGCAGGGGTTAATATGCAATCCACCACCACCTCAGACAGTCAACTTTCTGCCTCCAGGGACATGTGCAGCACCCAGTCCAGTACAAGCTTCATCACTTAGGAAAATGCCTTTCACTTCAACAAACTCGTCTGTTACATGCAAAGACAGCAGTAGTAACTGTCAGCGGCATGCAGTCGTCATGCACCCTGCTGCCTTCTTACCTTCTGCCACCTGCTTGGCCAGGCTGCAAAATCTGGTACAGATCTGTGCTAAAAGACACCATGAATATGGAGACCTCTTTCCTCATTTAGGTGATTTGATATTCCATGCTTGTACATTCGTGTACTAGCTGCCTAACTACAAAGTTGAATCAATATATTTTTACATCAATTTAGGTCTGGACTGGTCTGAGGACAGTGATGACGATTGTGAGCAAAATGAAGATGATGCAGAAGAGAGATTGTACCATCTCCACAGCTCTTGGGGACCATTAAATGGGTTTGTGACATTAATATATCATCTGGGTTATGTGGGTATACCTGCCAGTGCAAGCCTGATCCAGTAAGATCTCGGAAGCTAAGCAGGGAAGGGCCTGCTTAGTACAGTGATGGAAGACCTCTGCCACAGTGGGACTGCTGTGACAAACAGCTGTTGTGTCCTAAGGCAAGACATTTGACCCACATTTCCTAATATGATTCCGGTGTGTGTGCCTGTATGATTGGTGGAGGTCACAGTCCAATGGCACACACTAGTAGCCTTCTTTCAGTCAGTGTGCCCCAGGGCAGCTGTGGCCAGCATAGTAGTTTACCACGACTGTGTATGGAGTGAATAAATGTTTTGAAGTGTTTTCAAGTGACCAGAAAGCACATACATCTTAATTATATGTTCTGAAGACATAATATAATATTAGACTCGTGATATCTAGTATTTGCCATTTCCATTCACAGGGTGGAAGACGAGAGTGGACTGCCTCGACGATCTCGGCTTTTAAGGCTTTGCTCATATCTTCAGGAGAAATACAAGCACATGTGCAGGCAGGAAAGGGCCACTATCAGACAGAAACGATATCGTTATGCCTTTCGCAAAGCCCTACTCCATGCTGCCAATAAGAACCCAGACTGTGCTGGACTTCTCATCCAGGAGCTGCATGGTGTTTCTGAAAACTCAAGGTACTTGTGTCATGAAAATATATTTAGGTGTAAAACAAAAGCACAATGAGGATTACATAACTCTAGATTCACAATTAACATACTAAGATAAGAATTCCTTTTATACTAGGAAGGTACTTTTCCAGTTGTGCAAGAAATCCTGTTAATGTGTGCAGTATCCCTGGAGCATTGCTCTATTTTGTTTTTACTAGAATATATATTTGAATTCATTTTGAATATGCCAAGAATATTAGACTCGCAGAGCGCCCAATCTATTCTGAAAAACTAAGTGAGTTAGTCAAAGTAATTATTAGGAATGCACCAATCCTGCATTTTCATGTTCAATCTCAATACTTCTTTATAACCCATAGTTACCGATACCAGTAAAGGGACTGAAAATAGATGTTTTTTCTCCTCAAAGCAACAAACACATTCCCAAATATGGGTCTGATTGTGTTATTTATAAGCGACAACTTTTTACATAAATTGCAATTTTTCAATGGGCACAGAAACCCATACAAATATATTGCTTGTTGAGAATTGACTCTTTGCTCCTAGTTTATCAACCTTGTGCTCTGTTTGCAGTGTGGCTCAAAGAAAACAGCAGAAAACAAACGCAGGAGTCTGCACTGGAAGCACAAAGGGTCAGGCCTGTAAAAACAAAGCTCTGCCTTTCACCCGACACTGTTTTCAACGTATCCTTTCTCCAGTCTTATCATTCATGTAAACAATAGTTTATTCTGTGTTTTAATACTATTTTAGTTCATATGAAAGTCTTCCTTCATTCCACTTTGTAGACATTCTGTTGAACCGTTCCCAGCAACTGTTTTCTAGTTGCACAGCCAAATTTGCAGATGGACAACAGTGCTCTATTCCTGTGTTTGACATAACTCATCAGACGCCTCTCTGTGAAGAACATGCCAAAAAAATGGTCAGTCTTATTTCTACTGTCACAGTTTAATGATCCTCTCTCAATAAAATCTTAAACTTTCTATTCTTTATTCTTAAAAGGACAATTTTTTGCGTGGAGATGGACACAGACGAGTGCAACACCAGCAGCAGCGCAAGCCACGTAAAAAGACAAAACCACCAGCTCTCACCAAAAAACACAAAAAGAAGAGGAGGAGAGTGCCTCAAAGGCCTCAGAAACCCATTCCACCTGCTTTGCCACAGGGGAACCTCGGAATGCCTTCAATAAGCTTAGCAATGCCTTCCCAGGCCTGCCTCAGGTGCACAGTCCTCGCTTCCTGCTGTGGCTCATGTCACATTTGAACAGATTACTTGCTGTGTTTTGAGTGTTTTGCTGATCAGTGTGTTCTCTTTTGACAGGAGCCCATCCACCCCTGAGCTGAGTACAGATGAACTTCCTGATGACATCACAAATGAAATGGCAGACATTCCAAATGACCTTGAACTAAATCAGGAAGACTTCTCTGACGTTTTACCGAGACTCCCCGATGACCTGCAGGACTTTGATTTGTTTGAAGGTCAGTATGTCATCAGTGTTTTCCTCGCACTGTGCCTGTGAGACTGGCTGAGGAGCCCGGGGTTCACATCTTTTAAATCATGCTGGCCTCTTTCCTCCTCACACTCTATTCAGGCTAGAAAAATTATGCAGTTAACTTATCAGCTTGACTGGCATCAAAATAAGTAAAAATGGCAGCCATGCTGTCGCACTGGTAAATGAAGTAAAAATCATCATGTTTCACATGGATCTTAACAAGATTCCCAATTTGATTTACAACAAAGCAAATGGGAAGTGAGAAAAAATCTATTCTGTGCATCTTCAAAGCAGTTTACACAAAGCACTGGTTTAAAAAAAAAAAAAAATTGAGTCTATTATCTTTTTTAACAATTTCATTGATCCCGGTTCTTAATCTTAATCATACATACTTAATTTTACAAATTCACATTTTATAAACATCTAAAAGTAGCCATGTAGAGTCATATAATCCTTGACTGTAACCAGCCACAGAGCCATGAGGCAATTGCTTTGGTCTTAACTGTTGTCCCACTCCCTTCCTTTGCATTAGGTCAAAGACATCAAGAAAATAATATGGTAGGCTTTATAAATAAAGAGTGCTGAAATAAAGCTATGAATAAATGAAAATGATAAATCTATAAATCTAGACAGAAAATTATGATACAAATCTTTTTTGTTTCATTATTTTGCAGTTATTGTAATTTCACACTTTATTATCTTAATTATTTGCCAGTGTGGACATGTATTTATTCATTTATTTTTTTGACAGTTTTGGTCCTTCATACACATAAAACTAAGTGTCACATTGTGAATATGCCAACACTGGCACTGGAGTTAAGATGCAATATGACCCCAAATATTTGTACTGTGCTTAGGTAAAAATGGAGACTTGTTGCCCACAACAGAGGAGGCAGAGGAACTGGTGCGAGCGCTGCAGGCCATGGGGTCCTACCCAGATTCCTTGGTTTGCCTGACCTCCATAGGAGACTTGACGCCGTCTGAAGGAGTGGACCATCGAGCCATGACTGTGTTTCCGGGGCCTGTGCAGACAGGAGGCATGGGGGACCTGCTCAACAGCCGCATCTCATCGGAAAACTTCACCAGCCTTGATCTTGCGGACAATCTTCTGCAGTCCACTGGAAGTCACTTTCCTCCCTCGCCTCCATCAGAACCCTTAAACCAGCCTCCAACGTCATGTTCCAGTTTGACATCTCCTAAGCCCCAGTGTGGAACAGAGCGGACGTTCTCACAAACGCCTACATCCAATGTCCTCACTAAGTCAGATGCTCCGACACAGTCTTCCCAGCGCAACCACTACAGCAGTGACCCTGTGCCATCCCCGTTCAATGATCATATAGCTTCACCTCATGGTCCTAGCTTCCCCACAGACAGCCCTTTGCTCCTGGACGTACCTTTGAGCAGTGCCCCAGGTGCCCCTCGATCTTCATGGAACAATATGACTCTCCCTCTCACTGATCCCTCACAGTTTGGCAATCTTATTGGTTCTGACAGTCATCTTATATCCACATCTCTTTCCACTCCCCCTGCGACTACTCACTCTGCCACACTGCAGCCCATGGCGGCGCTCTCAGCCATGCCACAGACTGGTATGACTGGTTTAGCAAACCCTCCAGCCCCCTCTGCTTCCCCTCATGACAGTTCCACCCAGCCCAAGCAGCAGCTCCCTCAATTCAGTGCGGCCTTTGGCCATCAATTGGCCTCCCATAGTGGCATCCCAAAAGATGTGCAGCCAAGCCACAGCTCCACAGCGCCTCCTGCTGGGTTCTCAATCGTGAGTGCCACTGCTGCTCGTGCCAACAGCGCCACACCGCCATTCACTCAAAGTAAATGAAGTGGCCTGCAGCAGCTGTGAGATTGCTGTGGACTCCAGTCACTGACAACCCTCTTTGGCTTTGATTTGACCAGCTTTTGTATCTGCTGTGCAATATAAAAATGGTGCACTATTTGATAATGTATTTGCACAACCTCAGATTACGGTCACTAATTTCTGGTTTACTTTAGTGTACTTTATAGCCATGAAAGATTGCTGGTCACTGCGAGTCCACTTGTCTGATGCCTTGTGGTTAACAAGAGTTACTCTAAATACAGGTGTTCTGGTGAAACCCTAGAGAAGGACCTTAGCAGAGATTATCTCAGATTTCAAAAACTTTAATGCCTCAATCAGTGGTCTGTTTTTATTTGCATTAGCCAGGCGACCCCTGGTTTTGCTTCATCTATTACACCCTGCCTTGCTCTGATGGCCATTACATTTTTATTTTTCTACCTGTTCAGCATTTGTCACCCTGTTAAGAACCGTCAAACAACTGCTTTTGATGTCAGTGACCATTATGTATGAAGCTATAGTTGTGAGTCTGTTTTGTCATGATATAGAATCTTATCGAGTCATTTCAGACATGAATTTACCAAAATACTTTTAAAGGCTGTTTTTATATTGTGTATAGGCTCATGTATTGGTTCGCTCAGACGTCGTATAAAACTCTTACCTCACCATTGGTTGTGGGACTCTGAGAGGCCTAGTAGACACTTGAAGGTAAATCAAGTTCAAAGCAATAAAGACATTATCACGACACATGAAAAGTATTTTCTTGGTCTCGTCACTTGTAGCGTCACTAGCTTCATCAGGAATATACTTTAGCCCTCTAACTGTTGTTTTTGACAGTTTCACTCAGAAGGAGACCAGTGATCAGGTTCGCTCTCCCATAAAGGATTAGCAGTGTTGGTTTTACGATTGTGTTGGCATGTAATCCAGGGGCTTTAAGTGTCTACTCCAAAGGTACTCTGGTCCTCATAAAACAATGGTCCTGCATGTACTATTCATGACAAAAATAAAAAACTAACGTGTGTGTACAATCACTTTGATGGTGTCATGGTTGGTGTCTCCAGTAATGCCCTGAGTAAAAGATTTTCTTTCAATTGTATTCTCTTCTCAGTTAGTGGTTCTAATGGTATACTTGTGCTGAGGAATTGAAGTTACACAATGCTTTTTAGAAAAATAATGCTGTTATGGGAAGCCTGATTCAGTAAGTTTCCCCCTGTTGGGTAATGCAACGGCACAACCATGGCTTTTAAGGCTTAATTACACACCGATATCGTAGACTATTTGATATAGAGTAGAAATCTTACCTTGGGGTTTGTTGGTGATCATTGAGTAGCAATTGACATAGTTCTTTACAATGTATTCAGTGGGAGCTATTTTGTAGAGTTCCGTCTCCAATGGTTTTTAATGGCTATCAAAAGAGTTGGCTGTTTTTGTCAAGCTGTTGTTCGGTTGTTTTTTGAACAAATATTCCACTGGAAAGAGACTTTTGATAGCTGTTTAACCAGAGGACGCAGTGTAAGATTGCATGGGACAGCAACACTTTGTCAATATTGATATTTAATTATGGTCTCTGGTGGTATAAAGCATAGAGATGTATCCATCTACGTTACTTGTCAATGAGAAGAGTGGATTTTTGTATTTATGTTTTATGTTGATTTTGCACAAAACCGAAGGATGCTAACACATGGCATGTCTGTTTTGCCTTTTTGTTGGGCGCTTATTTAACTCCACAGCTGCTCTGAGCCTGCACTAGAACCTTGTCCAGCTGTGAGAAGACCCCATAGTCTCGTGGTGGAGTCAGAAACGCAGGCCTCAGTACTATAATGTTGGATAACTGTTGAAATAAGACAAACTGCTGTATCCACAAGCATGAGATTAGTTGTTGCACCCATTTCACTCGGGAACACAGAACAATGTCACAGGGCTCGTAGGCACATGTAACTGCTTGAATTCAGAGCTGGCTGACAAATTCCTATACTCATTGAATGTACTGTATTACTGTTTTTAAAGATAGGATGAGCTAATCTAGTCACCTTTTGTTATTGGTCCTTGTTTTATTTGTCTAAGGTATTTTTTGTATACAAAGGTTTACATTTTTATGTATATTTTTCTTGTGTACAAATTATGTAATATGTGTATAAACACTGTATGTAATTATCTGTATATAGTGTGATACATTTGATTTGTTTTGGATGTATAAATAAAACTTGCTGTGAGGTATTTACTGAAAACCCGTTTGCTTCTGATGACACTGTTTAAGATTTTTTATGTCATTTTTGCAGTTCACAACTTTCAGTCCAGGATGAGCCAACATTATTTGATTAGGACATAGTCTTTATTCATCACTCTGGCCACCAAACCAATTATATCACAGAGAATTGGTAAATACAAAATGTGCTTTTTAAAATTAATATCTATTTGGAGAAGAGGGCTGCAATGAATGTTGATTATTCACAAATGGAGAAAACTGTGGGAAGAGGTGAGTGCATTTCCATGAGTGATCCAACCAAACTCCAGAATACCACTGACTCATCCAGGAGAAACCGCATGGTGTGTCCATGACTAAGGACGTGGACATTATAGAAAACTGTTTGGCTGTGATAGAAATATGAAAGAAATAGGATGCTATTTATTTTGTCATTCCACATATTAGAATGTAAAATAATACATAGAAAATATATGGTGAAAAAAGTGCTAAAGGTAAAAAGCGTTCTCCCTGTGCTACCACCAGAGGGAGGAGTTGATACTTTTTATTTTCCACAGATAGATTACATTCTTTACAATCACCTGAGCAATTGCCAAAACGTATTAGGGTAAATACTTTCGTTTTCTAAAGGCAGAAAACTGCTGAGTGTGATGTCAGACTGTTACAAGAAAGACAGGAACTTTTATACTGAAGGGGCGGAGTTACATGTTTGAGCCAGAGGTTTCTGAAATGAGTGTGAAGGAAACAATGGAATGAAATAGATGATTTTCACTCTTATGAAAAGTGGTTTAAAAATTACTTAGTTTGCCTTTTTCAGACTGACCAAATGTAACTTTACCTCCCATATTAAATCATCTTCATGCAAATTAGATTGGTTATCAGAAAAATGGTTGTAATAATTGTTTTATAAATGATTCAAAGCATCAAAACAATATTTGCAACAACAGTTTTGTTTAAGAACCTTTTTATTTTCAATTCTTTAAAGTGCAACACAACAAACTATTAAAAAGGTGCATCCATGTATGAAATGTTAATATCTATCGAATGTGTTGCATGGCACATATCACGTCTAAAGGGAAAAACTAAAGTCTATAGTTTTTCCACAGACAAATCGCATTAACTGGAAACTTAAAGAAGCAACAATTATCATCGTACCTTAATTGAAAACATTTTGTTCAGTTGCACTACATTCACAATATAGAAAATCTGAGGCAATATTCACCATCTGCTCATTTCAGCTGTGCTCTAAACCAAAACATTAGTCCAGGAGCAATGTGCTTTGTACACAATCCAGGAATGCAAGAAAATAACAACATGCACTTGTCATGTGTCATGTCATGTGCTTAAGGGTTGCTGCATAAACATTAAACTCATTTAAAACTATTGAAAAGCTAAAGCTATTCACCACAAACACTAAGGCTGATTAAGCTCAGGACTCAGAGTATGCTAAAACGCATATCGCTCAAGTCATAGGTGCCAGAAGTATCAAAAACATAGTAGCAGCAGTGCAGCTGGACTCAGCACTGGTTACGTTGCATGTAACTGTACAGTCAGAGATGGACTACATGGGCTTCTTGTTTCCACTGACAGCATGCACATACCTGGAAGATAGTCTCATGCTACGTACTGTTGGCTACTTGGTTAAAGTAGAAGGCATTTATATTTGAAGTGCAATAAAGCTGTTAGTACACTGGTATACTGCATACAAACCCAGCCTCAAGGAAGACCTGAAGATGGCACTGCCCACTAACAGATGAAGGGCACTGCTTCAGTCACAAATACACAGGCTGAAGCTCACACACGTGCATCAAATACAACAGAGGAAACAGAAGCCAACCTCAGTTCCAGGACATCTCTTCAAACTACGGTAGGAAGAATTTGATTGATCCAGCCATGTTTACATTCTCAACATTGACAACAGTCACAGCATGAAGTGTGATTTAAGAAATCTAACATGTCTGCATAATTGTGAAAACATGATTAATGAACAACCCAAAACTGATAAAGAACAGCCTAGGCTACTTGCCTATTGCATACTATTGAAATCAAAGTCTGATATACACAAAGTTCAAAGATAAGGCCATATCATATACAACCAATATTGTATGAAAATAGGTAGAACGCACCCTTAATCTACAATTATTAAGTTGGCCATTTTGTACACAGTGATTTTGTTACAAACGCCTTCTGTGAAATATGTAGGTTAGCTTATTTACAGATTCCACCTCATAGAGCTCTTTCAAACAGAATACCTGAGTTTCTCCTCACTAATGTCCACACACTGGACCAAACATCTGTCACACAATGTTTCAAAGTCACAAAAGGAATACAAGGTGAGATTTGCATCAGAATGAGCAAACTCCACTCATTGTTCTGAAATTAAAAACACTATTTTAAGACGTGATTTCTTGAGAGCATCGCTGCACTCCCATGTAAACAACAGTACTTGCCTGGGAAATGAACAGAGACAATACTGTATTTGCTGTTGTTCTAGATTATACTATATTCAAAATCTGTTAAGTGAAAGTGATTGATTCAACCTTTTAACAAGAGCAGCCACTAAGACAAGATGCTTTGAAGCGACAAGATGAACAGAGGAGTCTTGTTATTTAAAACAAAAGTTGAAGGAGGTACTTTGAGACCGTGTGTAGCAGCAGAAAAGTTCTTTGTGCTGCCGTGTTCGTCTTGAGCCGGTTCCTCAGGCGGCGTCCCGATGCTTTGGACACTGCTTTTCTCTGGGCCATAAAAACATGACATCTCTAGTGTGTGGGTGAAGTCTGAAGAACTGAAAATCTGCAACGGAAATGCACATGTTTATCAGACACCTACAGTCAGGGCTAAAAATAGTGAGTCATTGACATTATTCTGTTTTTGACTCAATAGACCACCACAAGGGATTGAGATTAATTGTAAAAGACGGCCATCTTTAATCTGAGGACGACGGGACCCTTGCAGAGACCCTTGCAGATACTTGTCTGATAGCCAATACCAAGACTTTCAATCATTTTGCACCTTAAATACTATGGTTATGGGTATCAGTTACTCACAAAGATGATTAAGACCCCCATCCCCACATTGCACCAGTTTAAATGTGTATTTTCCTCTTCTATGGGGGAAAATACACATGCACAACAGGGGCCGTTTACCTCTGCAGCCTTTGCACCAACTCCACGATCAGCGAGTCGCAGATGCCAGGGTGCGTCTCCTCCGCCACAAACAGAGCCTCTCGCAGCTTCTCTGCAACTTCGGGTTTGCCATTGCTCGTCTCACCTTTTTGTTTCAACTAAATGTTAAGCAAAGACAATATTATGTATACTGTACATCCAAATCACAAACAAACAATAACAAAGACACAAAAAACAAACCAGGCCGCACCAGCCTTTATATAATTACAACACACTGTCTTGTCTTGCTTAGTGATAAGAAAGAACCCTGGGAGTCCCTATTTGATGCTTTGGGCTGAAAGACTGGTGGTCCACTCTTTTTCAATGAACAGCTGAGGCTAAAAAACACAATCATGTGAAAACTGTTTTAAAACCTAGGAATAACATTTTTTTTAATTACATTTTATGTGGTTTGAAAGTTAGGACCTGGTTCAATTAGGCTGTAAACCTATTTAGAAATGTAGAAGTAAAGATGTGTTTAGGTTTGGGTTTAAAATTCAAATTCATTACACTTTGATTTAATAGAGACTCAAATTCAGGATTTTCTGTAAGTTAATCATTTATAAATATGTTTTGTAGTCCAGGATTGTTTATCACATCCTCTGAGCGCATAGCTCATAAACAAAGCTGCTCTGTTGTTGTGCCGTCTCCGTCCCTTGAGACTTTGTTCCAAAGGCTAAACCATAAAAAGAAGATGTCACACACTGTCAGAGTGAGTGGCTTTAGCCCCAGCAGACCCTCCACAGTCTACATTAATGCCTCTGTGCATCAGCTGCAGATTTAGCCACAAGCTGTAAGTATGGGATGGTTTAACTTTAGATGATACGGATATTGGATCTTCTCGACTCCCGCTGATGTTCACTGTTTTATCTGAACAATGGCCAATGCCAGAATCAGAACATCCCTAAAATAAAAAGTCACTTAATTATGAAAACCTGGCATTACCTCTGAAAAAAGTGGAGTGAAGATATCTTCTAAACTCTGGGACAGAGGCACTGGTGGATCCTCTGGGACCTTGAGAGATAAAGGTGTTAAATCTGAAATCCTTTTGTCTGGTTGTTACATAAAGAACAGCCCTACCTGGCTCTCTTCAGCCTCAGATGGCGGCGGCGGTCCGTCTCCATTTGGAGCACGGCCAGGACTGATTGTGCCCCAAAACCAGTCGTCTTGGTCTTCATTCCTAGGGTCCCCAGTGTCTGCTTCCCTGTTCACATGTGAAAGGGAATTTACACAGTAGGCGTTGACTGCGCGTAACATTATTTGGGTGTATCTACACTGGCCGTGCGCGCAGGTCCGCGGCTTATGATGCTGTCCCTGTGTAGTCTATGGAGAAGTGTAGAGGACAGTACGGGCCAGAGGACTGATGTAGGGCAACACAAATCACATGCATGCGTTTGTCTTCATGGTCTCTGTGCATGCATAAATCCAACCTAAATTAGGTACAGCCTCACGTCAATACATCCGCCATATGCGCGTTAACATGTAAAAATTTTACGAGCGTCTGCTGCGCGTATAACGCATACATGCTGTAACGCCTCCTGTGTATATTAGCAGTGACACTGTTAAAACGTGTTTATTGCAGCCGTCATGTGGTCACAGTAAAGGTTTCTGTCTTGTACACTCACTCGTCAGAGCTGGACTCGTCTCGAGACTGTTCCGCCTTCCACCTCTTGTATCGGTCGATCAGCTCTGTCAGATAGGACGTCTTTTTGGAATGCCTTACAATAAACTTGTGCTTTAGCAGTTCTTTGGCTGTCGGCCTCTGAGAACACAACATGACAAGATTATGCGTGTGAATATGTTGAAGAAATTTGTTCTTACTAAACTCACAAAGCTGGGTTCCTTGTTTAAACAGCCATCTATGAATTCTTTTAGAGGCTTTGTGTAGTTTCCTTCCAGTGTGGGAGGATTGTTCTTTGGGATCAGGAAGAGAACCTTCATGGGGTGAAGTTCGGAGTGTGGCGGCTCTCCTTTAGCCAGCTCAATTGCAGTGATTCCTAAAGACCAGATATCAGCCTGTCCAGGGCACAACACAAGACAATGACTACTCGGGTTAATCACACATTCTGTTTGAGGAAAATGAAAAAAGTGGTTGATAATATGGTGCTATATATAAAGATCAGGAAGAAGGTAAGACTAAATGACAAAAGGTGGTTAAACCTTTGAGTCATATGCAGATTGTTTAATGACTTCAGGTGCCATCCAGAAGGGAGTGCCCACAAAGGTGTTCCTCTTTATCTGAGTGTCCGTGAGCTGACCCGCGACGCCGAAGTCAGCCAGCTTCACCTCTCCTTGTTCAGATAACAGTACATTGGCCGCTGAAACAACAACCATATGAATCGTCTTCATCAGATTGTTATGGAAACATGCTGTGGTTGTTACGTGGTGGAAAAACAGTCTTGCCTTTAATATCTCTGTGAATCTTCTTTTCAGAGTGCAGGTACTCCAGCCCCTTCAGGATCTCCCTCAGAATGGTTGCGATCTGTGCCTCGTCAAGAGGTCCTGGTTCCAACTGGAAAAAGACACGTCACAGCTATGACACTGGAGTCTTATTCTCCTTGAATTAAATCTTGTATATTTTAAACACACAAATCAGTTAAAATAATAATCTTACCAAGTCCAGAGCTGATCCTCCTCCCAAATACTCCATAATAATCCATAACTTTGTCCCCTGAAGCACAAAGTATATTCTAATAAGCACTGCTTCCAATCTTAACCAGATCACTGAATCAGTGCTGTATGAGATTATTTGAATTTTGTTTGTTTGTTTATAAATTACTTATAAATATAAGTTTCAAGTAACTTAACTACATTACTTTGGATCCATTCATTTGTAATTTAATATACATATATAATGTTTGAATGCTTTATTGCTATAATGGAATGCTATTTTTATAATTATTTTAAAGAATTGGTAATTATCTACACATGTTCAGGCTGCATCGTGCTTGTTTGAACTGTGTGGGCGAGTTTTTTCAAAAGGAATGTGTTTTATTCATTTACTTTAAAAGTGATCTAATTACTGTATTTGTTACATCCAACACTGTTGAATAAATACACAGTACTAATTAAAAATGAACACAATGATGTGATGCAGACTTTAGAAAATAAAACAAAATTCACACATCAAGTCCATAAATCAGGCTTTACTCCCCCCAGTGGCCTGACAGGGGCTAATGGAGCACCACTCTCAGCACTTTACGTCTACATCCTTTGAAAGCACTAAGCACCGTCACATGTACAACGGTCGGAGAGTGCTGCTGCACCGTGTAAACACTGATATGTGCAGGACTTTGTGAATCTCTGACTTTTCTCAAAACAAACAACTATACAACTTTGGAAACTGAAAAAAAAATATTAAACCATTTGCAAATGTAATGTTCTTAGTCGACTGTTTAAGACCAATGTCCAAAGAGAGCATTGGCTGTAAAACAGGATCTGGGAGGATTTGTAAAATGTGAATCTAATTGTAATAAGATTTTAATGATTCATTATGACTCTGTCCCTCTCATTCACTGGTATTTTTTTTTCACAGATTGTTCTGGATCTTCCTACTCCATTTTGGGCTCAACCGTGACAATCAAATGAAACATGGGAATTGATACTTTAGTAAATGTATAAAGATGTTTTAATGTAATGTAAATATAATGTAATAAAATTGTTAGAGTGAGTGGCTTTAGCCCCAGCAGACCCTCCACAGTCTACATTAATGCCTCTGTGCATCAGCTGCAGATTTAGCCACAAGCTGTAAGTATGGGATGGTTTTAAAGACTAAAAAGACCGACACACCAAAGTCTGCAGCAACATTGAACTGTGGAAGGCAACCTAAAACACTACTTGTTTACAAAATACTACAATGTAAAGACAGTGAACATAGTTTATGATAGACAAAAATGGAGATGTTTACCTTTAAATAAGATCCATAATACTTGGTGATGAAGGGGCTGTCGCACTGACTGAGAACTGTAATTTCCTGTTGAATATCCTCAATTTCATCTTCTGCTTCTTCCAGATCAATGATTTTAATAGCCACAACTTTCTGAGTTCGATTGTCAATGCCTTTAAAGACTTCTCCAAAGGAGCCCTTGCCAATCCTCTCCATCTTTGTAAATAGCTCCTCAGGATCAGCCTTTAAATTCTAGAGGACAGACAGACAAAAGCATGTTTTTAATCAGACTTACGTTTCAACACATGCAGTTTCACAAAACATTGATGCAACACCATGAGTGCAACTGTATCAAACAAACAGTTTGATACAGTTGCACTCAGATATAGTTATCTGCACTACCGCTTTGAGGGTTTTGACATTTGTTCTTTTCAATCAAGAGGATCACAAACTAATACACACACTTAATTATTGGCTGAACTAAGTGGCTACAGTCCTGATGAAAGAGCACCACACTGAAATTCTAGTGCTTACTTAATTCCTACTCAAGTATGACAATTCCATCCATCCATTTTCTGCCTCTTCATATATTGCCGGGTTGCGGAGGCCGCAGTTAAAGCAGAGACGCCCAAACTTCCCTATCCACACACACCTCCTCCAGCTCATCCAGGGGAATCCTGAGCCGTTCCCAGGTTCCAGCTGAAAGACAAAGTCCCTCCAGGGCCTTCCCAGGGCTCCCGGTGGGACGTGCCCGTCCAGGAGGCATTCGGAAAAGATGCCCGAGCCACCTCAACTGGCTCCACCGATGTAGAGAAGCAGCAGCCCTACTCTGAGCTCCTCACCCTATCTCTAAGGGAGCCACTCTGCAGAGGAAGCTCATTTCGACCGCTTGCTTCCTCGATCTCGTTCTTTCGATCATTACCCAGAGCTCATGACCATAGGTGAGGGAGGGAACAAAGATTGACCAGTAAATCGAGAGCTTTGCCTTTCGGCTCAGCGCCCTCTTTTCCACAACGGTCTGATAACAGTCAGTGACTGCATCACGACAGAATTCTGCAATGATTCTTTCAATCTCACACTCCATCCTTCCCTCACTTGTGAACAAGACCCCGAGACACTTTAATACCTCCACTTGAGGAAGGACCTCTCCACCCACCTGCAGAGGGCAAGGCAACTTGCTCCAAAGGGGCAATAAGGTGCCTTGACAAAGCTTTTTATTATTACCAAAAGTGCAGACATATTTGATGTATCACCTTCATCGGAATGAGAAGTGTTTTCTCATTTCAAATTCTCCCAAGAGAAAGTATTCCAGTAAACTGCTAATGCACTGAGAGGGGCTGCCTCAACAACTACGAGCAACCGTGCAAATGGAAGGAACACAAAACTGTACAACTGGGCAATAATCTGGAGATATTTACAAAGTAGAATTTCACTATATACATAATGTAACCAGCATTTCAACTTATGTGAGTATAAGGAATACATACACATACATAACCATATGTATTTATTGTCTTTGTACACTTTGATAAAAAGAACTAGTTTTAATGCAGTTCAGTGGGAAATACAGGAAACATTTGTTCACTGTCCAAAATAACATTTACAAATATATTCGTATCTTGTATTTATTGTGGCACTTGTAAAAGTAAAGTAGAAGAGTAGCTTTGCTTTAGGTTATTAATTACAGAAGAGAAGGCAAATTATTTCTATATAACACTACTCCTTTTGTAATATACACATAGGAAAAGACAATTGTACAGTGCGTGTCAAAAACATCTCTTGTCTGAGGCGCGTTACCAACTCCAGGTGATGCTGCAGTTATCAGCAGACACCAGCTTGTTGAGTTTGGCTCCGCTGATATAGTTCACGTTACTCGTTTGTTGTTGACTAAACTCAAACACAACATCGTACGTAGAATTACCTGCATCCCTGGTATGGAAGCCTGCACAGGGGAGTGCGCCATGGCGTTAGATAGTAAAGATGAACTATGCACTGTGTACTTTGAACTCCTCCGCGGCGGACGCTCTTTATCAAACTACTTCCCCGTATTTCAAACAAGTCCTTCCGTAAAGCGGTTTCTGTTGAGTTATTTAAAAAAATAAAAACTCTGAATACTTTGAAGACCGGTAGCACACTTGAGAAGAGTTTGTGGTTCTGTTTCCTTCACTTTCCCCCTTCAGTATGCGCCATCTTGGGTCAATTTCAATTTCCGGTTGCATAAAGACCGGGTTGCCAGGTAGAGCGGTGTTTTCCTGATCAATGACTACAGCTTTTTTATTATTATTATTCATAAACTAATTATTTTATTGATTGCACTAATAATATTACTAACATCACCATCACTTTTATTATACAACATAGTTCTATAACGTCATGGCCCATAATCAAGAATCTATTCATTTGAAAACAAACTCGTGTTGCCTTGTTTGTGCTGACTTTAGCTCCCTCTGGAGGCATCCAAGTCAAGGTGCTCTGTTAAGTGTTCTTTATTTAAACATAAACTGTAGACCACAGTATATGTAGTCTACAGTATATTCAATTAAATCTGGAGTGTCCAACTTTTGTTGTTGTTTCATAACATTGACGTATATGACCCTTGTTCAGCAAGGATTCTGACTGACATTCAGTCAAGGATTTTACCTGAATTCATGAAAGTGTGACACAAGGTAAGTGATCATGTGTTGAGACAATTCACAACAAGGAGTTTGTGACAACAAGTACCATTTTCCATATAGATGTTTAACATTATATAATGACGTTAAGCCTGGTACTTTGTGAAATCAACATAAATATTCAATATTTGCATCACATACGAAAACACAAATTATCCTGTTTTGCATACTTTAAATGTTAGTCCATAACTGCATGACTTTCGATCCTGAACAAAACATTTAGAATTCTCTCTTTATAGTGAAAACGTAGTTTGACTTCTCTTCTTTTCTTCAAGAGGAGCAGATCTGACAGACATCTCGAAGCATCATTCAGTATTCTCGTTTTGAATTCCATCTCCCTCTGCCGGAGGTAATGTCATCACCAGGGTGTGTCTGTTTGTCATTTAGTTCATTAGCTGACATTACAACCCTGCTTGCTATAAGTCTTTTGTTAGTTTTTATTTGTCAGAAAAGATAGAAAATATAGAGTTCTTGTAAAGGGAAAAAAACTAAATATATTGCACAATATTACAAAATAAAATATCAACATTGTTTATCATTCAAAAGTTCAGATATAATGTACATATATACATAGCACACACCTAAAAGTAACTGGTGCTAAATGTATTTACTTACTTTGATAATTACATTTTTTTTAAAATTATTTTCATCTTATTTATTGTTTCTACGCTTCAAATTGGGGGGACATATATATTTGACTTGCATTCCTTAACTTTTCTAACGGGGTTCACACCCATTCTTGTCATGGATATGTTAATGCATAGGTATAGAGCGAGTACATTATTTACAGATGTTTGTTTTGCTCATAAACCTGAATTCTTACATTGGACTTTTCTTTGCAGATATGACTTGAGGCCTAGTGAAGTCACTCGCCTCCAATGTAGAGGGAAAGTGTAATGCCCTAATGTGGGACGTTCCTGCCAAAATAACAGACGGGCAGAAGTGAAAAGCAGAGCCTCCACAGGAAAAGGGCAGGAGGCAGCTTTAAGGAGCCTTTCCAGAGACAAATGAATACATGAACATAAACAAGAACACTATTGGGAGGATTTGTGTTATCAGAGGTGTCTAACCTTTGTAGTGTTTATGCGAAGCTTACATAATTCAGTGCTGAACTAAAGGCGGGCCTTAAAGAGTTGGGTGGCACCAGTGGAGCCTCCTCCCTTGGGCTGCAGCTCCAAACTTTGGTCCATAGTTCTGACCTGCTCCTCAAGATTCAAAGAACTCCAAAAAGAACAGTGCACTTGAGCAGGAGGAGCCACACGTCTGCTTACATAGACAGCTGTTTGGACATCAATGATTTAGTAAGTACAGTCATTTATTTATGTCTCACTGAACTCACAGCAACAGACTGGGGAAAGCGAGTGTACATTGTGTTTACCTTGACCTGCTGGGTGAAATATCAAAAGGAAGAAAGTTTAATTGTACTGTACAGTACAACCCTTAGTATGTGTAATATAAACAATTCAATATCAGTTTGTATAACTTTTTCCCACTTTTTTAGTCGTTCCTTGCAGGTGCAGGAGGGTCTAAGGACAGTGATTATTCGGGACAATATAACATTTTTGCACATTGGACAAACACCCCTCATGAACCAATGGCTGTTTGTTTCTCTGATCTGTTGTTGAGGAATCTACAACAAATTGAATTGAATTGAAGACCTAAATCACAACAGCAGTTGTCTGATTAATGACTCAAACAGTTCGAACGCAGGAAATGCAATAATATCAAAGAGAAGGAGCCATTGGTTCACAGGGGCGGACGACCAATGTCCATAAATGTTAATAAATGCCCATAATATCCTCAAATGTCCCGGATCATCACTGACCCTCCTGCATTGGTAAGGAATAACTCAAAACAACATAATTAATATATTTAAACATACACAAAAACATACAATGACAATAAATTAGTTTGTTACAATAAGAAGAGTGCAGCTGAGTCGCATGTGGAACAAAGCAGAACTTTTTTTAACCTAGATTTAAACATTGTTTCAGACTTTATCTGTATACATTAAAAAAGCTGATCTTACATGCCGAGCTCTGTTTAAGTTATGACTATTGCTACAATTATGCAAGCTTCCTTGTTACATTTGATTACATATAGCAAGGTTCATACACGTGAATAGATTCCCATAATTCAATCGGAAATGTGTCCTCTGCATTTGAATCATCCTGAATGCCGCAAGGGCCTCTGTCACTGGGGGGCCTATCTCCAGACGTGTATGCTTGGCTTGGTCAGGACTCCAGGACTTAGTAGGGGAAACGGAGCAACTGGAGGAACCCTATGCAGACACAGGGAGAACATGCAATCTCCACTTATTCTGACCGGGATTCACATCCAGAACCTTCTTGCTGAGTGAGAGTGATCCCCACACAGCCTCTGTACCCCAGTCACTGTCCACATCATACAAATTCTTCAGCACTTTCTCTGTCAGATTGTGAATGGAGGATTGATTTGAGAACAGTTGTGATTGATGCTCTTTGTTCTTGGAGCAGGTTGAGATGAGCAGCGGCGGCACACATCTACAGCCTCACTGCCAAACTCTTACTGTAGACGATGAAGAGGAGTCGGAGGACGAAGAGCCCAAGTTCTGTGGGGTGTGTGGGGACCAGGCCAAAGGCTACCACTTCAACGCTCTGACCTGTGAAGGCTGCAAAGGCTTCTTCAGGTGAGACCAGGTTTGATCTGTTGCTGAGGAATCCATAACTTTGTAAAGTCCTTCGAGACGACTGCTGTTGTGATTTAGGGCTGTACAAAATAGCGAACACAAAGCCGGACAAATGACTGTGCGTATGTTTTATTGCTGCTATTATCATTGTGTGTGATGTTTGCTGTGCACTCATGCAGACGTGCCATAAAGAGGTCGTCGCCGCTTCAGTGTTTGTTCCTGAATAAATGTGTTATAACCAAGAACAACCGCCGGTCATGTCAGGCTTGTCGATTCCAAAAGTGTCAGGCCATTGGGATGCGCAAAGAAAGTAAGTTGGATCCGATTTCAGAACACGAAAGAGTGGAGACTGCAACAAAGTTAGTTTTATATTTGATATTCGACATGTTTGACACATTCATATAATGTATTGAGCCCCGTGACCCTTTGATTTCCAGTGTATGTCTAGTCTTCCCACGCACATGAAACAAAACTTATTTTTTCTATATACCTTTTTGTTGATTTTGTATAATTTTTTGTTATTAAATATCCACACAAAAAATAAAATAAAAGGTATATTGAAAAAAAAAGTGTTGTGCAGGAAGACCAGGCATACATTCAACCTGTTTTGAAATCAAGTGGTCATAGGGTCAAGGGGCTAAATACATTTTTTGAATGTGTCAAATATTTTTTTCATTTAATTTATTTTTATTTATTTATTTATTTATTTTAATTAATTTCATTTTATTGTTTTATTATGCATATCTGGGTCAAGAAAGTGGCCATCAGAGCTCCCACCCATGTCTCAAAGCTCCAGTCCCTCGCTGATCCTCCTGCAGGAAGATGGCTGCTCCTTCAACGCAGATACGGCCTTGGTCTTTCAGTGGGGGCTTCAGGCAAAGTGGGGTTAAGTGTCTTGCCCAAGGACACAATGACAGCAGACATCAGTGAGAGCAGATGACATGGGTCGTATAGTGAGGTCAATGCTCTTCCAACTGAGCCACTGTCGCCCCAAATATGTCAAAAATGTCAAATATAAAACTAACTTAACCGCTGTAGAGTGTGGTTTGTTTTGACTGCGCGCTCAGATGCTGTGTGTCCTTCTACAGTGGTCATGTCTGCGGAGGAAGTGTTGGAGAGGAGGATCAAAATCAAGAGGAGGAAAATGAGAGTTGCATCTTCGCAGCTCTCACCGCAACAAGAGAAAGAGATTGAGGAACTGTTAACAGCCCACCGCAAAACTTTTGATCTAGATTTCTCACGTTTCAGAGGCTTCCGGGTGAGTAACTGATTCATTCTATAGCACCTTTACAGCCTTGATAACTTTCACTTTAACTATTCATTTTTGCAGCCAATAGGCAGATCAATTAATTTTCCGAGCGACTTGGAGGAGTACATGAACGAGTCTTGTGAGCCGCTGTGCAGTCACGCCGAAGACTTCTGTGCTGTTGCCGAGACATCTTCGTATGATTTCTTTTTACCCTGTTTATCTCCATCCTCGCCTCCCAGCCTCTACATGCAGCTGGAGACAGAGCAAAACACACAATCTGACCAGAAAATCACTATTTTTACGTCACTCCCACACTTTTCGGATCTTGTGACGTACATGATCCATGACATCATCAGGTTCTCCAAAAGTCTACAGGTTTTCAGGTACAGACCCACAGACCTCCTGTTTAAGCCCAATCCTGGACTGAAATCGTGTGCTCTGGTAGATCCTTGAACATGGAGGACCAGATCACGCTGCTGAAGGGCGCCACGTTTGACATCATGCAACTTCGCTTCAACATGGTGTTTGATGCCAAAACATGTTTGTGGGAATGTGGACCCATTTCCTACTTTAAAGACGACGTCATACGAGGTGAGTGCATAGACTGTAAATATTAGTGAGTGTCGTACAACAGGAGCAAAACAATCAACAATACAAATATAAAAATCAATGAACCAGTTCCTCACAGTTTGCCTCTGTCACATCTTTAGATCAGCTTTTTAAACAGAGATCAAACAGAGAGAGGACAATAGCCTCACTCAGCCAATCAGCCCCCTGCCCAAAGCATCAAATGTGTCCTCTACTGGACTTACTGACTTTCTTAAATGCACTGTTGATGAATATTGAAATTGTAAATATACAACACTTGGTGAAACTAGGGCAGATATTGTTGCTTGATTGTATGTATATGTTTATATATTTGCATGTGTGAGTAATACTGTAACCACAGAAGGCAACATGTGCAAATGTAAACTAAGGAATCTAAATATTGTAAATACTGTAAAATTTCTGCTTGATTGAATTAAATCAATCAAATAGTTTGTCTCTACAGAAAGTCAAGAAATCAGACGACAACATGCGATCTTCATCATGTACTGTTTGTGAAAACTAGAGCCAGAACCAAACAGTTTTGAGAACGAGGAACTAATTAGATTTAGTACATAGTTTAAACAATTATGACATGTGAGGTAAACCAGCTAAGTCTAATCATGTATGAGAATTGTTTGACTGAATAATAGTTTGTTTTCATTCTCGCTGCATTAGGAGTTAAAATCATAGATTAAGAAGACTATTGGGTATTTTCTCTACAATTTACAAAAATGTTAAAACATTTCACGTTGATTTAATCATAACATTTACAAGAAAACTAGTTCGAATTAAGCTGAAGATAATGCCATTGTTATCTTTTTGTACAGTAATCTTGTGACAGGTTTGATCTACTAACAAAACTTATCCTATGCTGTTACAATAGTTCAATAGAGGTCTCCTGTGTCTATCTCCTGTGCCTATAGCGGGGTTCCAGCCGTTCTTGGTGGATAAAGTGGTCAAATTTCACAAAACCCTTCGAAATCTGGGTTTAACAGAGGAAGAATATGTGATTGCGCAGGGCATCTCGCTGTTTTCTCCAGGTAATTCCACCACTATTCTGCAACAGTTTAGTGCTGCATCATTGAATACATTTAGTGGATTATAAATTGCATTAGTTTGGAACATTCAGTCAACAAGTTTTATTTAGATATACATTTATACTCGCTTCTCAGCAAAATGGTTCTGGGTTCGAATCCTGGTCAGGTCTGGATGTTTGCAGGTCCCCCCCCCCCGCGGGTGCTCTGGTTTCTCCTACCACCAAAAATATGTACTATATGTACTCGCTCTCTGTGTGGAGTGAGAGACAATTGCCCACACTTGTAAAACGCTTTGTGACTTTGGTCTGTGAAAGGCCCTATATAAATAAAAATTACTTACTTACTTATGCACGTTTTAGATCGACCAGGGGTTCAGCAGCGGGACTTGATTGACCAACAACAAGAAACTCTGGCCCTGGCGCTAAAAACCTACATAGACAGCAAAAGAAGTGATCCAGGGAAGCAGTGAGTGTCATATACTGTATATCATTGTCTAAATCAGGTGTGTCAAACCAGTCCTCAAAAAGAGTCTGGTGTGTTTCTGCTTATTTGGAATGAAAACCTGCAGCCAGTTTGACACCCCCTGGTCTAAATACAGACTTCTTACTCCTGACCTGTTGTTGTGTTCAGCTTGCTCTTCCCCAAAGTCCTGGCCTGTTTGACCGAGATGAGAACCATGACAGAAGAGTACAGCAAACAAGTTCTGCAGATTCAGGATATTCAGCCGGACGACATCTCTCCTCTCATTATGGAGGTGATCAGTGACTCTTGAGACTATTGTGTTAAAGATACAACTGCAACTCAGCAAATGCAAAGGCCATTGAGGAAGGTAAAGCTAACTGAAGAGTCTGTAAAAGGAAATGTGCATATTTGCATCGTTTAATTGTATTTTATTCAATGAATAAGCAGTTTTACCTCAGGTTGTAATGTGCTGCATCAATACAAGCTAACTGTGAATACTTTTGGCCCTCATTTCATTTACTTTACACAATTAAAAAGGTTTGATTTGTTCTGTTTTTGAGATTCTAGGACAAACAAGCTGGCTCAGAGGAAACTTTGCTACTAGGCTGTGTTTCTTATCAGTTCAACTGTTTTGAACAAGATGTCAATGAACCAGATTCCACTTGCTTCTATTGGTTCTCAAAAACAAATAGTGTTTTAACCATGAATGGATGTCTTGTGACTGTCATCTAGTGGCCACTTTCACGCATTAAAGTAGAATGGTGATGAAATTATGAAACCGACACAGTTGACTCATTTCCAGGCTATCCTACTCTTTATTTAATGCAAATTACAGTACCAGGGAACTATTCCTCAGAGCACGCAGAGGGAATATTTACAGAGGCGCACATTTAGCATACTTCACAGAACCAAAGAAAAGAACAAAACAAAATGTTCAAAATTCAGTCACAAACAGAGGCATTCAAGTAGTATTACTGTTATACAAGATGTTTGCATCTTTTTGTATGGTATTCTTTTCTTTAACCCTAGATAAACCGCAGATTACAGTTAAACATTATGCTTCAATTTAACAAGCATACACTAGCCGCATATGTCCTCGTTTCTTCTTTTTGGTAACCGTTGTGGCAATTATTAATAGAGCTTAACATGAGTCAAAGTTTTGGTGGCGGATAGCAACACGTGTTATGAATGCAAAAATTACAGCAAGCAGTTTTAATGGGAGAAAGGCTACATGACTCTACTCCTTTAGGTGCTACTGAATCCTCCTGAACATACATGGACAACAAGAAACAACAGATTATATTATTGCCTCTGAGGATGGCTCATCACAATTATGTCATATTTGGCTTTGGTAACACAACCAACACTGTGAGAAATATACAACCTACTGTATATTATATACAGTAAATGAGGCCTTTGTGATATCCTGTCGTCGTCTGAAAAAACCCACTAGGCCACTTCACCTTCCCTGGACACCAGGGCTGTGGTTTGTGCAGGTGTGAAGAAAACCGTTTAAAATAACACTTATCTTCAGTTAAGGACAGCTTCCTTATTATTTCTATTTGTAAAGTACATTAAATGTGCAATGACAAAAAGGGATGGAGTTCAGGGTGGAGGGAGCACAGAATCAGGTGCAGCAGTGCCAAGTTCGTCAGCGTGTTTGAGGAAGCCAGGACATTCAACAGCACCAAAGGGAGAGTCACAATACAAATGGAGACTTGGGTGAACAAGGCGAAAGTGTATGAAAGCAAAGGCACTCCAAACTATATAGTTACACTATACATGACTAGTTCTTGTTACAATAATACAGCGGTTTCTACTGTCCTGTACAGGTAAGGTTGAACATATGGCTGGATAAAGCTCATCTACAGTATCCATAACTTCAGTTTTGCCCTGATTCTGTCTGTTAATCCTTTTTTTTTCATTCTCACTATTTGTCATCTTTGTTTTTGCTCATCAACAGTACATGGGTCTGCATATATACAAACTTTGAAACACAACATGATAAAATAACGTAAAAACGAACAAGTCAAGACTTTTGGTGACGAGCATTTATACTGTATGTACAAATTGTTTTTAGTTTACAATGTGAGTATTTCTGTAAATAATACGTGTAGACAGACTGTACCAGACGGCTCTATGTGCAGATCATGGAAGAAGAGAAAAGAAGGCTTGGCATACGCTTCAGTCATTGGTTACGACACACTGGGCTTGGTGTCGCTCTGGCCAAAGTCAAAGATGCCCAACAGGAAAAAGAAAACAACATTTGAAGACAGCCAGAGAAAGAGGAAAGATGTTCTGATAGAAAGAGTCATAGAACAGTGCCCTAAACCATCTATAGCTTACAAATAAAAATACTACTGGAATTAACTGCACTCCAGCAAAACTAAATACATTTTCATGTACTTCCATTGTCTTTAAGCAGCCACAAATATTGCAGCTGCTGTGCCAGATAGAAGCCCACCATAAATGATTTCTGAACCATTATAGTTCATATACATATATCTATATACCTTTTTTATACATAAGGAAAAGTAATATATAAACTGTATGTTTGCATGTTTCTGTATTGTATGTATAGAATATACAAGCACACAGAACCAGATACAAGTCACATCCATAGCAATCCGACAGCCTGGGAAAAAAAATATAATCAAATAAAAACAATTCGCTTACCATTTAAAAACAACCCCAGGCAAAAACAAAGAAAAGACGTGTCCAAATGTGACCTCTCCTTGCGTCTCTCAAACATCGGCTTGTCATGCATCCGGGAGGTGACTGTAGGGTGGGGGTGAATTTGCGCGCCTCATGCCTTTGTCTGCAGAAACTGGACGTGGAGAGTGAGTGGTCCTAACTGTATTCAGGCCATGCACTACGGGAGGAACCAGGAGGAGCACGCGGCCAGGGGATGCAAGGGGGGGGGAAATCAACACTGTAAGAGCGGGCCCAAGGTTTGGACCTTTTTTCTATAGGCTGTCCTCGTAAGAACATTAGCAGGCTAGCATAGTGATTACATTACATCTCTGGCACATGGCTTTCCACTGACACACTGGCACAGAGACTGACGGGGCATGAAGAGTCTGCATGAGGAAGAGGGTTCCGTTTGGTTTGTGGCTGTGGCACAGGGGCTGTCGGCTAGCTGCTGACCCCAGAACTGTCTCAGCAAGGTTGGGCCCTTGCGTGCCCCCGGCCTGGGGCTGGGTAGAGGCCCGCGGCGCTGCCTCCAGGCTCAGGAGGTGGAGTTAGAGGCGGAGGCAGAGGCCGTGGTGGTCGGGGGTCCTCGGTCTGTGCTGCTACCATCTATGGGCACAAGAACTCGGCATTAAAAGCAGACTATATGGACGTCTGTTAAAAGGGGAAAATGAGTTGAATTCCCTTTGAAAGCTCTCAGTGTAAACAGAGCCGAGTACCTGTGGTAGCAGAGGCATTGGTGGGAGTGGAGGCTGCAGCCTGACTGCGGGCGTGAGCAGGGATGAGTATGGAGGCCAATGAGGGATTACTGGACAACTCTAAAGGTGAAACATACAAATGTTCACTTAAAAAGGCCTATCGCCGTCATTGTTAAGTTAGGAAATAAAACATGCTCGAGAATTAGAGCAGAATACACTGACAATCTCAAATCTAATACAAAAGAATTAGATGATACTGCCAAGGAATTGTGAGTCCTCATTTGTATCTCAAACATACTCCCAAACATACTAGAGTAGCTGCCAGTTTGACCCAAATTGTATATTAAATGCTGTAAATGGTTGCACATTTATTTATTTATTTTCACAAGAATTTCTATTTGTCATTGTAATTCTTGTTTTTTCTTTTTTTAAACTAAGATTCACAGCTGGGCCAAAATGTGATTGTGTTTGTTAAGTTGAATAGTAGTTATTTAAAGTCATGTTAAAAGTAAAAAAGAAATAAACATGAATCAACAGAATAATCAATGAGGAAAAAGTGGAACACTATAAACATAGTACAATGAAAAGAGCGATGCGTGGTCTGGACGCCACAGTCACTGCTCTGTGTGTGAGTCCGCACCTTGAGTGGTGAAGTTGAAGAGGGACGGCTTCTCTCTCCCGTTGGGCAGTTTGACATTGGGGTCGCGCAGCTCATCAAAGAAAGAGTGTGCACAGGCCTCCAGGGGCGTGAGGCGGGCGGTGGGAGTGTACTCCAGCAGGCGAGAGCACAGGGCGATGGCCTCGGGGGGCGTGCGTGGCCGAAACACCTGAACACAACACAGCATGATTGTAGCAAAGGCTGAACGCCACATCAGTGCATTCTGTGGAAAAGTACAGCTTCAATGGACTATGCGTTTGCTATCGTGTGGATATTGTGAGTTTACTGTGAGTATTAAAAGGGCTCATACTTTTTGACCCACCTTAGTCCAAGGATGTGCCTTGATCTGGGGGAACTTGAACTCTGTGTAGTTGGGGTTCATCTCACGGATCTGCTCTCGAGTCGGAGTCCCTAAAACCTTCAGACACAAACACTAGTGTGAGAGAATGTTCCAGCAGAACCTAGAATCATGCAGAAATGTTTAGTTTGCTTTAGCTGTACCTTGATAATTTCAACCAATTGATCCACACCACTGTCACCAGGAAAAATGGGTTGTCCTAGCAACAGCTCTGCCAGCACACAACCAGCTGACCAGACATCTGTGTAGACAAACACAAAGAAACGGACAGCGATACATTTAAAGCCACATTCATAAATGTGTCAGATTGAAGGTGTCAAAAGTCAACACAGTAATGAAATGTGTTTGTTTCATCCAAAGTTTTCTGAATAGTTAAAAAGACCCACAATTATATACAGTAAGTTAAATGTTTCCAGTCATGAAGTGCAAGTGCTTGAATTTGGCAGCCGGCAGTTTGTGGATAGTAACAGTCCTTCAGGCTTCTTCATGTGGCGTCAGGGCAATCATCAAGAACATTTAGACCAAAGACAGACTGGGATTCACACAAGAGTAAAGTTTGGATTGACTCTGCTAGTCCTTTCAGTAGAGCAGTGTATTCAATTCACAAATATTTTTTACGCATAGAAATGTACTAGGGGTGGGAACCTCAGGTTACCTCACGATACGATACGCGATACAAAGCTCACGATAACGATTATACCACAATATGACAATTATCGATATATTGGTCAGAAATATACTGTTATAGAAATCTTTTAGTAATGCAATCTGAATAAACACGAAATAGTTACAAGTGTAAGTTATTAACTAATTCTCAACTCTGTATTCAAATACAGCACATATTGGCATAAATAAAAGAAAAATGTTAAGTGAAAAAATACACTTTATTTCATGATAAATGGAATGGAGATGCGTAATGTAGCCATATATTAAGTATTGATACTAATTAAAAAAAAAAAAAAAAAATCGATACTTGGCAAAAGCATATTGATAATCGATCGCGTGAGAACACAATACACCACGATATTGATATATCGTCACACTCCTAGAATGTACACAAGGTTACAAATATATTTTCCCCTGATGAAGAAACATTGTTTTGTGGAGGGTTGTATCCAGAGAAATGACCTAATTTTGGCATAAAACCAGCTTTATGGAGACCAAAAAAAACCCCACCATTCCCCTAAGGGCCTTGCCTCCCTGGTCCCAAACCGGCAGGGGGCACCCGAGGACCGACTGATTTGACACAAGTGGTCGACTTCTACAGGCTACAACAGCTACCTGCAGTGATGAGTTGGCCTGATGTCGCCTGATGCAAAACTTGCCACGCTCTTTATTAACAATTAAATCCCTTTCTGGGGCCCCCATCATACCGACAGAACCAGTGGTCTAGTGATTAAGATGCGGCACTTCCAACGCGGTAGCCCAGGTTCGAATCCGGGCATGCGCAGTTTTTTGGATTAAACCATATATTATACTAAATGACAGATTTCTCAAGAACGGTAGAAGGTAGAAACTAGCCGTTTTTTGCAGATTAAAGCTAAGAGCCTAATCTTTAATTTAGATTTTATAAACACTGAGGGCCAAATTAAAGATTAGATTTTGTAGGATTAATACACATTGATAGGAAGTTTTTATAATTAATTATAACATGATGAGTGTAGTGAACAAGCGTATAAAAAGACATGCTAAATTATTTCTCATTGCTTTGTGTCACGATAAGTTCTGAAGTATTTACAATTTTCTATGGTAGACTGTACAGTCTGCCAGGCAGGCCCCAGGCCTATCCATTTATTGTAAAAAATAAGAAATTATCTACATTTACTTTATATTAATGTAAACAAGTAATATATATTGCATTTTACCTTATTTATAAATATATATTTATACCGACTGTAAAATAAACCTATAAATGTGGTTATGTGGTTGGTAATGGGGCCCCCAAGGACTATGTTGCCTGGGGCCCCGGGGTACCCTTGGAACGCCTCTGAACATACCTATTTACATTTTTGCCTTCTATTGAGTCATCTTGTTTGAAAAGGAGACTGAGAGCGTACCTATGCTGGAAGTGTAGTCCGTTGCACCAAAGATGAGCTCAGGCGCTCTGTAGTAGCGAGAGCAGATGTAGGACACGTTGGGCTCTCCGCGCACCAGCTGCTTTGCACTGCACGGAAAATATAATGTGAGCACGTTTGCCACTCCCCCCGGCCTCTCCGTTTGGTATTTAAATAAGGGTTACAACGACAGCGTTCAATTCAACGTTTTTTGATAAAAGCGTCTCACCTGCCAAAGTCACAGAGCTTGAGCACCGCCGTCTCAGGGTCAAGCAGCAGGTTCTGGGGTTTGATGTCCCGATGGCAGATCCCGAAAGAGTGGATGTAGGCCAAACTCCTGAACAGCTGGTACATGTATAACTGCACACACACACACACACACACACACACATTAGGACAGCGCACACTTCTTTGAGCACTGACGAATCGAAGAAAGCACCCAGGTTTGTTTCTGAGACAAAACTTTTCATTAGCAGTTGTGGAAGAGTTCCGGTCATTGTGGTTCTGCTTCTCACCTTGACATAAACCATCGGCAAAGTCTGCTTGGCTCGGCTGTAGTGTCTGGCCACTCTGTACACGGTCTCTGGAACATAGTCTAGGACCAGATTCAGGTACACTTCATCTTTCTGTAGAAAAAGAAACGCATGAGTGAAGTAGTGACACATATTTATGATTTATTTCAACAGGACTCTTTTTATTGTTGCTCTCTGTGCTGTTCATAGAGCAGTGATACAAGTTTAAGAATGACTAGATCTTGGTAATGTAAATCGGTGCCAAGATTGTATAATGCGTTGGATCAGGTATCTTTTCAATGACATCTCTTGAGCCAATACCCTGATTGGGGCTTTCAAATGATTAAATGAGAACATTAAGTTTTATTCATTCAATGCTGTTTTGTAGTTACCTCAGGATTAAATACACATGAAGATGATTTTGAAAAGAGTTAGCTGTGAGAAGGAAAAAATCTACAGAGGATCAATTGCTGAGGGCCGGAAGTGCTGCTGCCTGTGTGAAATTGGCTGTGACATCATCACAGACACTTCCTGGATATGATCTGAACTTGGAAGAGGATGTATTCCTCACTGGAGCACACTGACCCACAAACAACTTTCCAGAAAATTACTGATGGAGACAATCAGTAATAATCTCAATTTGTTATTAATTATACTACATGGTCAAAAACATGTGTTTTAAACTCTGTAAAGTAAATGATCAAATTCAGCAGCATTTAGCAGAATAAATAAATTTAGAATTAATACTCGTGTGATCATTATTGTTAAATGCTTAATTAATGCCATCAATGAGCTGCTTAGCAGTGGCTGCAGTGATGGTGAGGGTCTGTTCCTTTGTGCTCGGAGACCACACTTCTTCATTGATAACATTTGTAATGAGTTTAGCAGCACCCGCCTCCTGTTAGCTCCCAGGTTATATTTAGCCTAGCAACAGTCATGACGCACTTCCTGCCTCACTACAAAGCCACTTCCTTGGCTTGTTCCCAGATAGTTACCCAGTCCGGCATACGATTGGCTCTCAGAATTTCTACATGATGATCCGCTACAAAGAAACCTAATGCTCATCGGACACACAGGTAAATGTGGGAAGTCTTATTTGTTTTGTCAGATAGGAAAATCAGATGATTTTGTCAGATGTGCAAAATCAAAAACTATGTTCATGAGCCACAGACTTTAAGTAGTCTGTCTAATAGGGGTGTGGTTAAAAATAACTTTTTGCTCATTTCAATTTCAATTTTTGTACATTTTAAATGAGAAATCAAACTTGCAACAGCATAATTTACATCCAGGAACAGGCAATTCAGACCTTGGAAAGATGTTTTATTTGCAGAATAACTATTAAAGCTTATTTAGCCAGGGGGTGTACACCTTTAATGTGGAGTAAATCAATGGTGTCTAAATCCAGAAATATTTTGTCCAGTAATTAAACAAGTATTTATTTAGAGTTGGGAGTAAAGGATAGATTTCACACGGCTTTACATCTGTAGCTGTCATTTTGCACATTATTTCATGTTTACAATCATAAAAAAAAATACTTTGAATCTGGAAAAGTTCCAGCTGTATTAATACTTTTGTAGAGAAGACACAGTATGTATAATTTAATGTGTACATGTTTATTTGTATGTTGAAAAAACACATTAAAATTATATATGAAGCCGAATCATGATCTAATATGACTGTAGCAAACATATCTGTGTGTAATTTGAGTTTGTTGACTGTCTTTAAGTTTATGAAATTGACTCAAGAGGAGTTCTGACAAGTTCAACGTTTCACACCATATTTTCGTGTAATTGTTGAGCAAATTTTTTCTGTATTTTTCTAGGTCTAACATGATACATTTGAGTAAATATTAGTCGTTTGTTCGAGAGATGAGGAGCAGAGGTCAGTCTCACTTGACATGGGTAGAAAGTTTTTGGCTGCCCACGCAGAACCCCCTGTCCTGTCGGTTCACTATTACACAAGCGGCTGTGAGATAAAGGCAGCAGACCGTCGCGCACAGTTACGTAAGAACACCTGGGCACACACAGCGCTTGCTACGCACCAGCTACACCTACACACACTTTGTCAATATCAATCAGAAATGTAACTCTGAAAAAATCTGGACATAATAACATTTAATACATTTCACGCCACAGTTTAAAGTTTTCCTTCTTTGTGTATAATTTTTCTCCAGTGGCGACTCTTGGAAAAAAGGAAACTGACATCATCACCGCTCACGATTAATTTTTATTTGGCAGTGTAGAGAGTTTAAAAATAGCAATACATAATGTCATTTAGAGTGTACCAATACTAATATTCTAGATAAATATTGATATATATTGATATGTTTTAATTAGCCAAAAGAGTCTTTGTCGTAATAATTTTCTATTTCACTATTCATATGTGATTTTTTTTAAATATACAGTATATATTGTTAGCTATTTTTAGAATTATCTATTTATTTGTTTTGTTTGTATGAATACATGTGTTTCTACTGGACTCCTGAATTTCTCCTACGGGGAATCCATCCATCCATCCATTTTCTACCCTTTAATCCATTTCTGGGTCAGGGGGGTGGCAGTCAGAGATGCCACCCAAGTCTCATAGCACCAGCCCCTCACTGACCCTCTGCAGGTGGTGAGTCCACAGGAGGACGGCTGCTCTCTGAGTATGAGCATAGCCTTGATCTTTCAGTGGGGGCTTTGGGCAAAGTGGGGTTAAGTGTCTTGCCCAAGGACACTTAACTACGGGGAATAATAAAGTATATATATTTAGTAGGGGTGGGAACCTAAGGGTACCTCACGATACGATACGATACGATACACGATACAAAGCTCACGATAACGATTTTATCACAATATGAGGATTATCGATATATTGGTCAGAAATATACAATATGCCAATTTATGGCATAAATAAAAGAAAAAATACACTTTATTTCATAATAAATGGAATGGAGATGCGTAATGTAGCCATTTATTAAGTATTGATACCAATTAAAAAAATACTTGGCAAATGCATATCGATAATCGAATCGCGGGAGAAAGTATCGCGATATATAGAAAAATCGATATATCGTCACACCCCTAATATTTAGGACATATTCCAGTAAGCTTAACCTTCAAATTTTTATTCGGTCAGTATCAAAAACACCTCAGCCCAAAATGTCAAAAATGTACTCACTGGGTTCTTTATTATGAATATGTAAAATGTTTTCTCATAAGATGAAGACCGCATTTAGTGATTTGTTCATACATTTTAGTTTTCTGTCGAGACAAACATGTATTATTTATGAAACAAAAAGGTATAGTGTTATCTGGATCTTATCTGAATTTATTTAATTGAATGTTTTTAGATCCAGATTGAGAGCACTTGAGACATCCTCATCGAAATGTAATTTTGTAACTGTATGTAACTTTTGTCCAGGACTCCCTTGAAAAAGAGGTTCTTAATCTCAATGGGACTTTCCTGGTTAAATAAAGGTGAAATAAAATAAAAAATAAATAAATGAAAGCCCCCTGTATCTTCATACCGTGTGTATCGAGATATTAATGTCTGACACAACTGATAAAAGTTTGTGTCGGACTTACTCGGCTGGTGGATGATAGTAGCTAGCAGCTGAAACCCAATACAGTTGTCTGCCGTTAAAAAACATTGTAAAAAAAATTAAATGTAGATTTTGCCCTAAAATCTTGTTGTTTATCATAACTATCTCTGTGCTTGTCCCAATAAGGACTTCAAATATAAAAAGATTTTAACTGCATTGTGTTTGAATAACTATTGTGGGGATTTCAGGCGTCAAAGGCGGAGGTAAGAGCTTTGTGAGCTGCAGTCATGATCCAGGCTCATGTGCTGCTGAATCTGACACCTTTGTAAATCAGTTTGTCAGAGTCTGGAGGGAATCCCGGCAGGTCAACAGCTCAGTGTTCAAACCAAAAAAAATTATATTTTATGGTGGTGTCCAGCTTTCACTGATAAATGGCTTTGGAATGTGCCACAAACCATGGAATAAATAATACAATGTGTGGTTTAATGTCACACACTGATGCATGTTTAGTCTATAAAGTAACCCCAACAGTGGGACAAAGGTCCCACTGTTGGGGTTATAAAAAAACCACCATTCAATAAACATTTTCACATGAAAATGACTAGACCCCACAGGGGTCCACTCACCTTGTCTCCACTGGAGTAAAAGAAGTAGCGAAGCCGCACGATGTTGCAGTGATCCAACTTCCTCATGATCTGCAGCTCACGATTCTGCACCAAAAGATAATAAACTGTTCAGAATCTGTAAAACTTGCCTTCTTCACTTCAGAAATGCCAACTCCAAGTGTTGTCATAAACCGTTTCGACTGTTTTTCATCTGCAACATTGAGTATTAGAGCTAAAGAATCAATGGAAAATCTCTAAAAATCATAAGTAAAATACTTTAGAGGTAGTCACCATTCTGACTCAGTTCTGACAGATCTCAGAGCTCAGATAAAGTCAAAACTATTATAGAGTTCTATCCTGAAATCATGTTGATTCTGAAGGCATTATAGGAGGGATAGTAGTGATGCTATGTTTCTCCCTCACAGTTAGGGTTTGTAAAGATGATTACATTGTCTTGGCTGATTAAACATATTTAACAGACAGCCATTAGTTTCTCAATTGCCTCTTATGACTGTAGGTGCACAAGCCTGACTCAGGCCTCCGGGTTCCAGAAGGCTGATCCATGATCTTTATATAGAAAGGCGGAAGCTCGATCACACAATGCACCAGGAGTCCCACCAAATTATTGTCTGACGCAGGAATCAGCTGCAGAGTGATGCGTGGCCTGCTCACATGATCACCCGCTTACCCCGAGAATATAAACTGATACGCCGTTGGACTTGCAAAAGTTTTAAAATTAAAAAAACTAAGGGCGTAAAAAGATAAGTAGGAAAGTAAGATGGAAAGTGCAGGTGTTATTGAGTGTGCAGTCGTCATGTGAGGAGACTTAGACTTAGATTTGCATAAGCATCTGCTGAGCAACACCGTGAATGTTACAACCAGAACGCTCATTCTGTTCACAAAAACTACAGCTAAGCCGATTTCAAATGTGACTGAAATATGAATAAGGATTATTTCTATTGCTGCTATAAACAAGATAATATACGAGAAATAAGTGAGGTGCTACCTAATCACATGCAGCCTAACAAAACAATGGCATGGTGGTGAAGCATGGGCTAAACCAGGCGCTAAAAGTGTGTGAGCACAAACTCTTTGACTTTAGGTGACAGATGGCCGGGCTAATGAATGACCCCCCACAACATTAAGTGACATCATTTGTCCCGCACATTTGGGGGAAGAAAAGATCAGCACCTGCCATAAAACCAGGCTGAACGTAGAAAGGTCATGGAGGCAAGTAGAAAGCGGAGGTATGTTTTAATTTTAATAGCCACATCAAATCAGTAACATCAGCAGCTTTTTACCATCTAAAAAACATTGCCAGGATCAAAAACATAGTGTCTAAAGCAGACCTGGAGATTCTTATCCATGCATTTGTCTCCAGTAGGTTAGACTACTGCAATGGCCTGCTCACAGGTCTGTCCAAACAGGCTGTAAAACAGCTGCAGTACATTCAAAATGCAGCAGCTCGAGTCCTGACTAGAACCAGGAAGTACGACCACATTAGTCCAGTCCTGAGGTCTCTGCACTGGCTTCCTGTGGCTCAGAGAATAGACTTTAAAACAGCTCTGCTTGTGTACAAGTCTCTCCATAGCCTCGCACCAAAATATATTAGTGACATGTTAGTCCCATATGAACCAGCCCGGACTCTGAGGAGCACAGGGACTGGACTCCTGTTAGTGCCCAGAGTCAGAACTAAACATGGGGAGGCTGCTTTTCAGATTCATGCTGCTAAAATCTGGAACAATCTTCCTGAAGATGTGAGACAGGCCTCCTCTCTGACAATGTTTAAAACCAGGTTAAAGACAGTTCTGTTTAACTGTGCATACAACTGAGGGATTTTATATTTTTATCTTTCTTTTTAATGTTCTGTGATAATTTATGATTTTAATGCTTTCTTGTTTTGTTCAGCACTTTGAATTGCCTTGTGTATGAATTGTGCTATATAAATAAACTTGCCTTGCCTTGCCTTGTTAAAGCGGCTGGAGCAAAACTGCGTCTTTTAAACTGAAACAGCATAAAAGCAGACCTGCAAACTTTATGGAATTATTTGGCCACTACTGGTTTACTACTTGTTTAGATCACAATACGATTCAGTTTGAAGGCACATAGTAAATTTCCAATAAAATTGGCCATAAAACTTTTTAATCTTAGAAACAAGCAGACAGGAAAAAAAAAACAGACATTAAGAGCTTTATAATGTCCAGTTATTTTTAATCAAACCAAGAGTGCAATTTCACTGATACTGGGACATATAATATATTTTACATGTTAAAAGAGAAAAGCACTGCCTGCTAAGTCAGCTGTAGCAGGTTGAATGGTTTCTTTGCCATTGGCCTATAATGTGGCTCAGTTCAGCACAGACTGGTCTAAACAGCTGAGTCTGACCAGCATGAGGCAAGCAGCAGGAGCAGCACAGACAATGTGGCCCCAATGACGGAGCAGAAGCCATCAGTCAAATCTATTCAAAGCACAAGAGGAGGGTTCTTCAGGGCACCACCAGACAGGAAATATGACATTAGTACTGCTCAGGCTGATCAAAGCTAATATCCAACTCTGCTTTAATCCAACTTTCTCATGTAATTCCGACCACACTTCAGATAAGTCAGGTCTATAAATATTGAAACAATTCAAATAGGAATATAGAATACAACATAATATCAGCCAACAATAATTATTAGTCATCACTTTGTACATTACCAATTGGTGGCTTCAGATGAATATTCATAGTATACTGATACTGAGGGAACATTTTGTGGAATACCACCCATAGACACCCAAAGACATAGATATACCTAGTGATCCATCATATGCCTTCATTGGATTGGGTTAGCAGCATGTCGGAACAAAAGCCCAAATAAGAAAATTGGCTCCAGCTAACTTATGTTAAAATCAACGTCTTCCGCACTATTCAGGGGCGTCAATGTGAATCAATGACAATATGTTGTATCTTATTGTATAGCTCAGAACAGCACGAATCCATTCAAAACACTTTTACAATCCACGTTGTCTGCCGCTGGCCAAAACTAGTGAACTAAAGTGGCCATCTTGCTGAAAGGTTTGGACACCCCAATGCAGACAGACCCTGTGCATTCGGAGATCGCCTTCACATCAGTGACATGTAGGTAGAGTAGACATTCTTTAAACTCATAGTTCCGAACTTTAAGCCCAGCAAATCATTAGACAATCACATTTCAATGAACAATGACTCAAAACAAGCTGAAAAATCTCCCAGAACTCCAAGTTCTATAGAATGTTATGCAATGGCCAAGTCCTTCACTTGGACTTGAATCAGATTTAGCCTGCATTCCACTTGCTGAAGACATAACTGAAGGGAAAAAAACTAATGAAAAAGCAGGAACAGAACAGGCAGTAGAGGCCAGGCTGGAGCATCACCAGGAGGAAACAAACATCTGGTGATGTCTATGCCTTCCAGACTTCAGGCTGGAATTTTCTTCAAAAGGATTCGTAACTAAAATTTTATATCTCCAAGTTTTATTTAAAATTCCTATTATTATTGGCCATTCAAAAAGGAGGCGGACACATACAATTCCTACGCCATTAACCAACAAAGTGTAAATACAACTATGAATAAGCTCATTATATTACTCATTGAGTCTTTCTCAGCTCATCAGATGGAATAGGTAAATATATAAGAGCCACAAAATTATGTCAGGGTACAAAAGGCTTATTTGAATAATTATTAGAAATAATAAGACAAGGCAAGGCAAATGTATTATAAAGCCTCATTCATACAGAAGCAACCCAGGGTGCTGGCAAACAATAAAACATTATAGGAATAAAAACCATAAAAAATGATGAAATATAAAAAAATATAAAAAAATACATACATACATATAACTTCAAAAAGTTTACACAAATGCATTATTAGGCAGCATTATTTCATTGTTCTATTTTGCACTACCTTCTGTAAAGCACTGACACATTTTAAATAAATCCAATTGAATTAATTGTTGTGGAAGTAGGGGTGGGCGATATCGTAGACGATAATATTGCTAAAGTGAATTTGACGATATGCTTTTTTGCAATATCTTCAATAAAAATAAAATATATTATTTTTTCTTTTACATAACTCCAATACATAATTCAATTAGAGCAGGCAAGATGCCCATTTGTAAAATGCGTGCATTTCAGTAAATATTGAGCCTTTTTGGATGTGTTTTTCCCGTGTTTTCCCTTCAATTTTATTTTTAATGTTAATATATGTTTGTGCATTTTTTGCCAAGATGTATGAAGCAATTTACAAATAAAAAGCTGCTATTTTGATCTAGACTGTCTCTATATATAGATGCCCTGGCAGCAAAACATTGCAGATCAATTTGTGTAAAAATGATTGATTTTAAAGATATCGTGACAATATCGTTATCGGGAGTTGGAAAAAAATATATGGAGATATTTATTTTTACCCATATTGCCAACCCCTATGTGGAAGTCAAAGCCACAAATCACATTTATGTTTTGAATCTTAAATATTTACCCCCTATCGCAAAGTATCCCCATTGCCCCAGAACTGTTGGGAAATGCACCATCTGTAATTACCTAAATGTAAGGTTTCAGCATAAAAACAGGTGATATGAGGCATTATGCCAACTTAAGACCGCTCATAAAGCTGTAAATTGTAGTTTTAGTATTTTAATAGTTGTCCTCTACTTTAGTAATCAATCTCTGCACTAATTTTGAACCCTACATTAGACTAAAACATGTTGAGACAAAGTTTTATGACTCTGATAACTCTATAATGACTGCAATTAAACAAAAATAAAATGTATTCATAAAGTAGTTTTAAATCAAACAACTGAGACTGTATAACAAGTATGGAGATGTTCTCCAGGGGCATCACTAGAGTTTGTTTTAGTCAAATGTAGAAAAGAATCCTATATTCACTGACCTTTCGGGATCTAAACAAATTGTTGATTTAATCGAAAGATTATTTAGCCAACAAATCAATGATCAAAAGAATTGTGAGTAGAAAATTATGTTTTATTGCCCTACTTATTCTGTAGGGACTGCTGCAACAATCGGGGGGAAATCAAATGAAATCAGATTGGAAACATGCATGTACCTTAAATCTCTTGTCTTGTAGCACTTTCTTGATGGCCACCATCTCTCCAGAGTCACACAGTTTGGCCTGATACACTACTCCAAACGAGCCATTCCCAATGACTTTGGTGTCCGTGTAGCTCACTTCCTGTGGCCGATCGGGGCCTTGGCCTGGCGTCGCTACCACTGTCGTTACTTTACTTCCATCTTTATCCCCTGGAAAATTAGGCAAACAACTGTGAGTTAGAACTCATTGAAAACAAGAGATAAAACAAGATATGACAACTTGGGCGAGAATTGTGTCAAATTGGTTACTTTAGATGTTAAACCTGTGTTGTCAGCAAGTATCCATGAGGAATTTCAAACTCACTTAAAATGATTAAAACAGAGGGTTTAAGAGTTGAATCATGTGATACAGATCACACACTCACAGTAGCAAGGGCAAAGTTCCCTTTGAAGGCAGTTAAAAGGACAAGTAAGCAAAAGTGAGTCGCGTGCCTTCAACATGTGCAGGCTACACACAGTGCCAAAATTAACTCCAAAATGTCCCCCTGAAATCCTAGCCTCAGAATGTGAAGACAGCAACGATTAGAACTTGAAAGGTTTAAAACGTCAGAGAAACTAACAGAAACTCAAACTTTTGTTTACCCCTTCCGCTACTCAAGGAATCCAAAAAGAAAAACATATACTGCTATTGTTTTGTAAATGTAAAATCATATTACGATAAGTAGTAAAGGGACTAGACAGATGCTGTGAACAGAGCCAATTACTACACTTGTTAATTTACTTAAACATTGATGAACATTGATATTTCCTTATGTCTTGGCAATCACCTCAGAAATGTTAAAGATATGTCAATATTTCCAATTAAGAATCCCTACACCAATCCTTTTTTTTAATTATCATAATTAATGGCTTTCAGGGGGTGCATACGCAAACTCTCCAAGAGTCGAGTCTAGAAAGCAAAAGAGTGCTGCAGTTCAGCACCGACAGAAATAGACTGAGAACAGACTGTGTGCGTAAAAAGAGAGACGCTGCCTACATATTCCACCAGGGCCACTTCTCCAAGTCTGAGTTGCCTCAAAACGTGAGAAAAGTTAGGAAATACAACCACACAGACCTAATGATGGATGACCCACTGATTCACCAGCTGCACAACCTTTTTCACCATGACGCAACACAACCAGAGATGAGCTCTATACAATAGTCCAAAACAACCACACTCAAAGTGATCTGGTTGATGTTTAGTGGCCTCAACCCAAAAAAATATCACTTGCTGTTTTAGGACAGAACCACAGAACCATGTCAATTTTAAAATCCCCTGCTCTGAATGAATGGCAGAAACATTGATTATGAAAAGTAATCTACACTAATGACCCCAATCGACTGATAGGTCTAGTGCATTAGGGCAGAAAACACTGGATCTGTGTGCCGATTGGGTAAAATGAAACAAAATTATGCTAAAATGGACAAGGTTCAAATGTGTGCTCATTTCAGCTCAAAAATACAATTATTGTATTGCCATTATGGCAATGATAACTGTTAGATAATAAGAAATCCAACTTTTACTCCAAGTGTAATGCTTCATAATGTTCATCTAAAAGACCAATAAGCCTGTACATTATTCAACGCACATAATAGAACGATGTCGCTGGTATCGGGATTAACTCGCTGAGTGAAGTGCTGACAAGTGCGCTCATCAGAAGTGTAAAGTGCTCTTCCAGACTTCCACTTGTGCAGTTCATGAAGACCATTTCTCAGTGCATTAACGGAACGGTCAGTCACAAGAACGCCACAGCTAAATATGAAGACCTCCTAATGCTGCTTTCAGACCGCCAACGCTGAAACACTGAAGCCTCACTCACCAGATGCACATTCTCTAGTTTTCAGACGCAGGGGTCTTCAGACCAGAAGTCCTGGCGCGTGCCGGAAGTAGCCGGCGGGCTTTGATGCTAACAGAGTTTAGCTAGCGGCTTCCTGTGTAAAGATCTTCTCCAATAATGCAGCTTTGCAGCGTGTCTGTGTTCAAAGATATTCCACAGACTTTATATAAGAGTAGTATGTGTTCACGGAGGTGCGCAATAAGTTTATTTTATTATTAAACGGTACTTCCGCATTTGCGAACACGCTCGAAGCAGTTGCATAAAGTCACGGAAGCATGAAAACTCACATGTTAACAGGCACTATGTTGTCAACCCTGGTTTAGTCCTGATGTAGCTCCTGTTTTGGCTGTTTACGAGTATGTTCTGTCTGCTCGCTCAGACCGCTAATGTCAGTCCCTGTGACCACTTTGCGGCTCTCTGGTTGCTGCACGAGTGTCTGAGGAAAGGTTGAGCAAAATTTGTCTCCTGCGTGCGTTGATTTTCAGCTCCTGTCTCTTCCCTTTTGACTTTCCCGCGCAGTCCGTGCGTCTCTACTGAGCAGTCCGTGCGTGCATTGAAAGCCGACACAACGCATGATCCGGTCTGAACGCGGCATAAGACTTCAGACATACGTCTGTAAGTTAGAGAACACATACAAAGCCAGCCAGAGACCACTCAAAATTCATATCTGGTCTTCCTTTTTTGTGTGGATTGTATAATACATGAAATCAAACGCAATAATTGCCTCCTTTTGTTTCTACAATGATCACTTCTAAGATGTGAGAGGAAGGAGTAATAAAGAGGGGAGGAAAGCACTGGCTTTGAAATGTAAAACAAGACGTTCATTGTTCTTGGCCAGCTGCCTCATCCCTAAAAACCTCATTCTGGGGCTCACGTGGGTGTGTGGATGTGTGTAATAAGCCAAATTTACATCCTGTGTAGGAGAGGTGAGAACATTTGTCCAGGTTCCTGACATTTCATGATAAAATACTGTAGGTCATCAAGTGCCGATAATATCATAAATGATACATTTTATATATAAAAACCATCCCTCCAAATGTGAAGTTGGATTTTACAACTATTTCCAGGGCAAGTCGTTGAACACAAAAGCATCCCATGCTTCCTGAGCAGCTGATCACCTGAAAAAGGCATGACTGAAAAGGCAAAATGAAAGACCGATCAGACAACACTTTATTATATACAGAGAAGTTTACGTAAAAAGACATTTCATGATTTTGCATTTCAGGAAAAATATTTTTACCACAATTTTGAGAGGCTATTCTCCTCAATTACTGATGTATTACTTTCTACAAAGTCTTTGTACAGTTAAAGTACATAAACTTGCAGTTTCCACTGAATAACTGAAAAAAGATTAGCTTGTACTACTGGTGTGAAGAGTGTGGAACAATATTGTTGGTCGTCCACAAGTAGTCATTATCAATTGTTACGTGAAAATGTACATGAAACCATAACTGGAACAATAATAAACGATCAGGGATGTTAGTAAGCAACAGTTGGTGCTAAATTAAGTGGGTTCTCCAAAACTGTGCCCTGTGCATTCTCATACTTAGAGAATGTTGATGTTGCACACATCAACATTTTCTCAATAAGATCATAAAAAATCACAGCAGCAAGACTCACTCATCTACCACAGTGTTAAGGCACACAGATCTCCAGACAACTCACACTACAGTCTGCTTCCCTCAGGCGCAGGGACAGGTAAGAGCCACTCCAGCTTCCTCCCCACCTCAATCTGCCTTTTAAAGAGCCGGCTTAGCTCATGGATAAATAAAGTTATTTTAATAAAATTATATTTTCAAATGATAGTGAGCTGCCCTACAGACTTAAAATGTGTTATTGAGACTGGAACAGACCAGAAATTCCTTCAAAAAGACAACAGAAAATGTGCAAACGTTTTATTTCTAATGAAACAAGTTTTGTTGGGAATTATTTATATAACAACTGATAATTGAAACAAACTTTTGTTACACCCTTACTTCACCGCACTTCCTTTTCTTCCGGTTTCACCGTAGCCGGGTCATGATGGCACGGGAGACTTCCCTATCCATGCCCGCTATTATAATAGATCCATGATCCATGCACACTCCTAGCTCAAATGGGGGAATCCCAAGACGTTTCAGGCCAGATGAGAGACAGACCCTCCAGCCTGTGCTGGGTGTTCCCGGGGTCTACTTCATGTGAGAGATACCCGGAACACCTCCCAAGAGGTGATTGGCTCAATCCACCTGTCACTCACTCCAGGTCTTACTGAGGTACAGTGAGAGGATGCTGTGATTGAGCAAAGAGCCGGACAATATTTCTAAAATATAAGCTTTCTTGGAATCTGAACACAATATATCTATCTCCTGGTGATGTTGGTTATTCACACTGAGAAGGTCCATTCTGTAAACTACATAGGGATAATGCCATCTTCAATCTTCAGCCTAGCTCTTCTTTAAATCGGACTTGTAGAGATACATCACGCAGAAGGAAAACTGAACCCAGAAACAGTTGTTGAGCAGATCCAGGCCCGGTCTTGGCAGTGCATCTGCAGCAGCCTCCTTCATGAAGAGGATGCCACAGCACGCCCAGGCCACACGTTTCGTCAGCCCTGCTCCGGGACCACGTCAGTTTCACCCGAATCAACTATGGGCACACCTTCTTTTCCAGTTGCGTAAGAGGCCAGCGTATCGCCGTACTCTATTTTACGCATACCTCTGAAGCAGTGAAGCAAAACTCTCGTTTGATCCTAAAATTAAATGGACAACTATGAGAATTGCATGTACAACTCGAGCTTATACCATAACTACTTCCCTTGGTCCGACCCAGCCCGATGCGGCCTGCTAGTGCAGCACACAGCCTACAATGACTTTGTGCCTCTGAGCCCTGTCCAATCTCAGCCACTGACACAGATACATGTTAGACCACCGTTTTAGTTCATTAGCGAGGACAAGACGAGGATGACTCTCCACAGTGGGCCTGCTGCTGCATAGAGCTACACTAGGATTATTACACGGTTACTTACTGCTGACTTTCATGCTGCCGAAAGCAGAGGGCTGCGGCACTGGTTTGCAGCTCTCTGCAAAGGATGTGGTCCTGGGCCGACCCGACATCATCCAATCCCGCTGGTGCTCTCCTTCTGGACACTATGACTTGCCAAATGCCCCCGCAGGTCTTTTCATCCAAAAAGGAGGGCTGGTGTGGATGATTGTAGCTTTTACACACCAAAGATGTCAGACAGAAATCCACAGTCCGCCTCTATCCCACGGTCCTACGTTCACCAAATAACACGTTTCCCCCAAAAGTCAGTCAGAGCATCATTTCTGCTGTTATATTTCCAATGGGCTTCAGCAGGCCTTTGAACACACGTCTCCGACTAAAATAGTCATGAATCTGGCCTCTCCCTGTAGCACCAGATCACAGTCACTATTCTCCTCTATTTGGGCTGTGATTTACATAGACAAAGGAAGAAGCATCAGTAATAAAGATCAAAGTGTGCTTCCAAATGTGAATGGAGGCCTCTCCTCTTCGTTTTCAGCCACATGCAGGTCTTCATATCCCGATATGGAAGCTCTCTGATCCGACGGCCATGGCGGCTCCTCGCGACAGCTCAGATGGGCCAACGGAAAACCTGCAGCTCCACGGTAAAAACCACCCGGAGATAGCGTTGCCCTCTGACCGGTACGTATACTCGCTAACACCCAGGACACCGAGTTCTTCCCGAAAGTGATGGTGCTGTTGCTAGAGGGTGGCTGTACTGAATTTCTTTTTTTATTCCTTCCATAGACTCCGGGCTCGCTGTCTTTGTCGCTACGTTTCTTGTCTTACGCCGTTTGCGTAAAACCCTAGAGGAAAGCTGGATTTGTACAAATAGAGTTCACGCTGGCGACGTAAGTCGAATTGGTGAATGGTTTAACTGTGAACGCGCAAAGGGTGAATCTGGTTGGCCGTCGTAGCCAATCAAAACGTGAACTATCATTTAGAAGTGGGCGTTACCTTGATGTTGGTGGCCAATGAGAACATTGCTCTTCAACACCACATGGCATTTCGGGTACCGCCTATGCTAACTTCAAAGGCTCTTCCCGTGGAGCTCAAATCCTCTGCTAGTTCAAGTGGCCCGAGCTGCTGCCAGCGGTGATCCAGTGGCTGAACAGCCCTGTTGCTAGCGTCATCCTCCTTTCCAGACAGATTTCAGCCGATGTTTCCTCGAGGCGACAGAATGACAAGAGTCCTCACCATAGCCAGTATAGACAGTCCTCACGCAACCCGTCTTACTTGGGCTGATAGGCTGCATCCGAATTCATACAAAATACGTCCTTCCTTATCCTCACCTCAAGTTTTGGTCAAGTGACTTTCAATAACGTTCAATAAAAATAAGAAGTTATTGTGTGTTGTATGATTTCTAATGTAACAATAGATAGCTATAATCTGAAGCATAGACGTTATTATAGGTCTATGACCAAATAGAACTAGTGAGCTATAATTTTACCTGTCCTTGTTTAAATTGGGTTGATCAACCCAAAATCTCAAACCAGTCCTCTCAGATGGAAAATTACTTTGGTGCAAGAATTGTGGATGGCACTCAATATAGTATATTTTCTCACCTTTATCAAAACCACTACATACATCACACACATATAATTATCCAATAGGCCGATCATTTTGCATACATTTGTGCGAAAGTGTTGCAGGGGAATGTTATGATTTTGCTAATATAGGACCATGTCTTCATCTAGCCTACAGCTCATGCTTAAAAATTAATTTTAATATGATTTTTTTTACAGTAATTAATATCATGGTCTACAACCTGCCATGTATGAGGGTTTATTGGCTGTATACATACCGAGATTCACCAAAACTGTATTAAAAATTCATATCGAAATTCAATTCCACTTGATCAAATCCTGGAGACTCATAAAGAGGAAAATGGCCGATAAATGACTGGTACAGCATGGTACAGACTGGAAAGTGACCAATGCAAAGTATGTGTTATTTAATTCTGTTTATAAGCCCTTGTGACTACAGACCCCTTATAGATCCATGCTACAGACCCTGCACAGCTTCAGAGGTCTGACAGGATCTGGCTTTCCCATGCAAGTATGGCCACAACCAATAATCAATAATGAATCATTCAAATTTGTTAATCAATGTTTAATGTTAAAATCATGCTAGGCTATGACCTTGTCAAATGTTGTTGAGTTTGGGCTACTCATGATCATTTTTGTCCAACTCCAACGTAATAAAACATTGTTCTCCTGAGAAAACAAAAATAAAAAGAATGTCCTTCTATGATCTATTGGGGAGTAGATGTTGGATAGAAAGGACATTTTAGGACAAGTAAAAACTGTAACTTACGGTCTAAATATTGTCATATGTCCTAACAAAGGCTACATAGCAAACAAATATATTAAAACAAATAAATATTCAAATAAATACAAGTATCACAGTATTCACAGTACTTATGTTTTTGTAAAAATACACACTGTGAAATGGGGGATTGTCTCAGTCAGCACAAGTATTTTGTGTTTTTTATGAAAAGATTTTTCTTAATATGAAACATCAACAGATTAAACAAAGAATGTAACAAAGTGCAAAGAGAACACTTTCTGGAGCTAGTTCACATCTTTTCAAATAGTTGCAGCAAACGCTGTCATGATAAAGTGCTAATAACATGGTCATACAAAAGTAGGCTTGAGGTCTTCTTTGAACACGACAGGGTGTGGAGACCCGTACAGTCCTGTATAGTCCTCGTACTCGCTGTCCGAGTCGGAGGAGCTGTCCGAGGTGGTGAGAGAGCCACGCTGCAGGCAGGATTCACAATACGGCCGGTGGTAGTAGCAGTAATCTGTTGAACTGCTGGAGTCTGAGTCCCAGTATCCAGACGAATCTCGAATGTGCCTTTTACAAAGCATTTTACTCTCCTCTTCCCCCACCTCATCAACCCCTTCTATACATGCATGCTTCGTACACTTTGCTCTTGTCGTGTATCGATGTGATCTTTGACATTTTCTCCCAGCGACAAGCTCCTCGGCATCTTCTGTTTCACTATTCTGAGCCTCTTCTATCTTTCCCTCTGGCAGTACGCTCGCCTCACACATTTGTACATGGTGCTTTGGTTTGGACGCATCTCTCATGTTCCTGCTCTCCTTTTCTGATCCAGTGTAAAAACAGTGAGGGGATAACGTTCTTCTGGGAGAATGAAAAGGTGGTCTACGTTTCCTCATTGAATATGGAGAGATACTTGGGTACCGGAACACAGTGGGCACCGGGGGAGAACGCGGGCTCCACATAGACAGAGGAGAGAGAGTATCCGAACATTTAGTTTGAGAGGCAGAGACTTGACCAGGAGACCGAAGTGCAGTCTCCAAAATAGTATCCACGCTCAGCTCTTGAAGTATTTCCCGCAGTTGCTCGCTGCTAACAAAACCAGTAATTTGAGTATTTGCCGTAGATTTTATTTCTTTCTGTTTGTTCAAAGCTTCTTCAAGGGAGGGGTTCAACCATCTGTGATGTTGTACGGATGTGACAAATTCCGCGGTCTCTTCTGCTGTTCGGAGTAAAACAGACGAAACTTGAGGCGCTTTTTCCACAGACGTTGGAGAAGCGGTGGAAACGTCTTTAAAACATTCAGATTCATTCAAAGCAGGAGAAAAGATGGGCATAGGAGATGGAAATGTTGGTGCTGGAGAGGACGGTAAAAGGGGAGAAGTGAGGAGAGGGGAGAGATCAGTAGGTGAGCATACTGATTTGCCGTCTTTCTGAAGAAGACTTGGACCCTCGGAAAGCAGCTCCGTGGTCTGGGTGGAGGAGGAGTGCAGGTTGCTTGTAGATGAGAACATGTTTCGATCTAATTTGGGACTAAGTATCTGGCTGGTGGACACGAGACGCAGAAGTTTCGCCTTGGCGTTGTTCACCTGCTCCTGGAGACTGTCAATCACTGCATTTTTCTGAGAAGAAAACAAAATGCCACAGTCAGATACACTTTCAAGTTTCAGTTTTATTTGAATCAGTTCACTTCAGTTTACTCAAGCATTATTACCACATTTACTTGGGTTAGGGTTAGGTTACTATTACTGTACTTACTAATAGGAGCCAATTTTATCTCCATCCACGCTAAATCAGGAACTTCTGGCATTTCTATTCAAAAGCTCCTATCTACAACTTCCTCAGATTAAGACGGAGCGGTTTAACCCTAGTGCGGCCTTTATAAAACAACTCAGAAGTATCCATGCATTTTTTGTGTTTACACAAAATAAGAATATTATTTCCCACTTTTTCTGCTATAGACGTGTTTCAGTACCCAGGATCTTTTCTTTATTCTGTTTATAAATACGTCTCAAATTCTAGAAACTAACAACATAAATATTCCCCTTTTAAAATGCCAAAGCTAACACAAATAATGCATAAGAATTTGTTCTTGTATTTAAAATGTCTAAAATAGTATAATTTCACAAATAAAACGTATAGAGCAACAGTATTTAAATGTTCGTGGTTTCTACTTGCCAGATTCCATGGATACAAAAGGTAAAAACCGTACTAAAATCGGAACTAAAGTGCATCAATTTTAGATATTATTTTCTCTTCTTATTGCATCATTCACTCCTTACATGGTGGTAATAAACTACTACTATAGCCAAAGCTGCCCAGGGAAAACTCTCTGTTGAAGCTGATTTTGTTTTGCGCCATTGAGTCGGGTTTGTGCAAAACAAAGTATTTTTCATCTGATAAGTTTGACACTGGGGCTTCAAAATATTCAAAAATGTGTATGCAGTAACCAATTTGAGTAATTGTAAAAAGTGTAAATTCATCTCACAAAGAATAATAGAGGGATGAAGCACCTCATTGAGCAGCTTCTTCATGGAGTTGTTCTCTCCCAGCAGGTAGTAGATCTCCTCCTGGCTGTACATAGACGTTTGGCTCTTGCTGGGACTGCTGAAATACTTTGCCATCTGACTTGGGTTGTTCTGGTCGTCTTCAAACTGCCTCCATTGAGTCAACTGAGAAAATATATGAATATGCATCATTTAGCAAAAATACGTGCACATGGATCCAGGTGCACTGAACTATATATTACTCATGCTTCAAATATTTCCGTCCCACTTAAGATGGGGCCTTTTATCCAAACATAAAACCAGAGGCAGAAACTTGGAGAGTTGTAAACCTGTTAGCAGCAGCCTCCATAGTTTTGACTCATAAACGCCTTCTTTGTGACTCATGCTGACAGACATGCATGTGGGATACTCACGGTTTCACTACAACAGAGTCTAGTCAGTCAAATACTGACATGGTTAAAGCTATATTTATTTGTTGTTGTTATCACTAAATCCTGCACACTGTGACTTGGGACTGCTACTATGTTGCTAACGCCGTTACTTTCTTCAGTAACGAGTAATCTAATGAATTACTTTGACTGTAACTATAACGCTGTTATCATTGCCGACACCCCGTTACTGCACATTACTCAAGTAGCACAATTAACTTTTAAAAAAAAAGGATGAGATAACCTCTGATGAGAGGATGAGATAACCTCTCAGCAATTATTGGCTGATATATAGTAAGATTACGTCTTAAGCCAATCAGAGAAATTGGGTAGGTGGGTGATCACTGAGGTTAAAGGTAAAAATGTGCACGTCGAGTGCACAATTACACATATTTTACTGGTACTGTAACTAGTTACTATTATAGTGGAGTAACTCAGTTAGTAACTCAGTTACTTTTTGGGAGAAGTAACTAGTAACCATAACTTATTACTTCATCCAACACTGATGATTGTATCGTCAAGGACTACAGATGGAAAGTCGCCTCGTGCTAAATCTGGTGATTTTTAATGTATCTGCACATTGTCCTTGATAAATTAAACTTGAACTTAATTATATATTCTTGTAAATGTATAAAGGTGTGTAACTGTGCAGATTGTTTCAGAGCGGGCGCCTGAATCGCACCATGTCTAATTTCTCACCTGCGGGACAAACAGCATGCAGTTAGTTGCCAAAGTGCAGATGAAAATGGCTCCCGCGACCACGCTGTAGACAAGGTTGGGCCAGCTGTGCAGAAAGAAGGACACAGGGACGACCACGGTGGAGGACAGAGTAACCAGAGTCACTGTTGTTATGATGGTGGGAGACTGGTTCACTGGAGGATGGCTGACGTTACTTGTGAGTCCAGCCAAATAGGTCCCATAAAGGAGCAAACAACCCTAAAGGCAATGTGGAAATGAGTTCAGAAAAATCAACAATCCTGCAGAGTTTGGTAGAGTTTGTTAGAAGAGCTACTGCCGAGGGCCAGATTGTAACACACCATGAAATACTAAATTCTACATCTACATATCTAACAGTTTGATCAATTACATAACTTGAAACTCAGCTCAAACGATGTTGTATTTAGGAAACATGGACATGTACTGTATGTGTGTTTCTTTTCCAGAAAAAATTGCCTTACCTTTTGCACAGCGATGATGAAGACCCACAGATGTGAGTATCCAGAGGAGCAGGAGTCCACCTGTGACAAAGAGTAGGACACCTCCCTCTCCACAATCTAAAATCAACAGAAAATGTAGTTTTAATGACCAAATTAAGTAAGAGACCATGCATAAATCTCAAACAAAGTAACTCATACCTTAACAAATGCATCCAGAGAACGAGAACATTTAATTGGATCTGTGATGTTCCAAACCATGAGAATCAACAAGTCAACCAGGATTAGCAAACCCACCATTCCCATCAGCTGAATATCTCTGATGATCTGTAAGATAATGCAAAAGTCCAACATCTGATCTAGCACAACGACTTCATCAATGATCTTGTAGTGTTTTAACATACCACTCTCTTGTCTGGAACCCTCTGTGTGAAAACTCTGTAAAGCCTCCATGTTTTACCCAAAATGGGACCAAACACTAAAGTACTCCCCAGACACAAAGTCCATATTCGAGCCTGTTCAGAATCAGAATTATTTTTATTGCCCTTGTGAGCACAAATGATACTAGTAAAAATATAATAGTTAATACCTAGGTATGCATCAACAGAAATAAAACATCCACATAACCATGAGAAGGACACCATGAACAAAAAGTTTAATATTTATCCCGACGGTCAAATGTTTTCTCCTAACCCTTTAATGTTCATTCCTTGAAGAAAGCAATGTAATTGTATCTTTTTAGATTTTCTAAGATAATTTCCAAGATGAGAAATATTTTTTGTTTTGTTTTATTAAACACCTTTTATCAAATGGTTGAGATGCAGTTTTATGATGAAAGTGCCTAAAACCAAGTGATAGAGACGCTCCAATGAGGTAGATTTCAGTTCCAAGCTTCAACGTAGATCACCAAATGGTTGGGGAAAGCATTAAAGGGTTAATGTGAATGTACCTGAATGAAGGCTCCTCTATATTGTGTGTGTTCATCAGCTGCAAACAAGAATCCACTGCTGTAGGTGAGGACGCTCCCAAACAGGGTCAGGACGTTCAGGTTGGGGCTGGACATCTTCACTATTCTAATGGAACACACAGGTGCATCAGAAAAAACGACCAACACAAACGGAGCCGACTAGAATATAACGTTTACCTATTGTTTTTAAAGCGCATTGTGAAGAAGAAAAAGCCACAAGCCAACAGGATCCCACAGGACAGTATGGTCCAAACCACAGCACTCAGAACTGGGGACAACTTTTGTCTCGGAAGCTCGACAGCTATCTGCATACATTACAGAAAGTAGTTTTAACACGTCAGCTGACATCTAATGATTATTGTCAACGTGTCTTTTAATAAACATACAAAGGGACACAAGGACAAAGGGACACCGCATGAAGTCTAAAACATTTTATTTCACGGTTGAACATTCAGACTGAAACAAAGACATTGCGTTAATTATAAACAGGCGCAATAGTCTTTACCCTTGAAATTGTAAATGAATAGTTACATTGTTTACACATTGAGACCAAGACTTGAAAAAACATTAACCACAATAAGTGACATCTGAAGCAAAATTGTAAAAAACAACATTATTGAATTGAGTTAAAATGCAAAAATAAAAAGAGACAATAGTAAACAAAAAAATGCAACAATCAAACGCTGATGAGAGAAATGATGAGAGGTGCAGAGTTGGTACCTCCGTGGTTACGACGGGGGTTGAAGTAGGGGAATAGTTTTTCTGTGAATGAGTACCCAGTAAAGGAGTAAATGTGGCAGGCAGTGTCCACATCGTAAAACGACACTTGCCCTCCCTCCATGTCGACATAGATTCCCATTTTCTGTGGCGTGCTGACCAGCGGCACCACGATGGGGGTGCTGTTCAGTGCCCAGTAGCTCTTTGGGTTCCTCATTCCCAAAGCCCAGTATCCGTTCTCAGGATTCAATGTATTCCCACCTTTTCTGTTCATAGATTCCCGTCCGACTCCAATATCCCACTCTGTTTTCCCCTTCACCACAACTTCAAAGTAAAACCTACCGGATGAGAAACCGTCTTTACCCAAAACACTCACACAGGGGTAAAACCTCTTGGGATTTTCAGGTACTTTGAGAGCAATGTCATTGTGATATACTTGCTTCCTATCTTCGGACAGGACCAACTTGGGATGAGCCGTGTCAAGATCCAAATTTACATTGACAGCGTATTGTTGTGCCCGCTGGAACTCCGTGGTGCACAATCTTTTAACTTCATCCTTAATGTTCTCATCAATCTTGGAGCCTACTTTGCGGATAGCTCTCCTCAATGTTCCAACGTAGACAGCACTTTTGACTACAGTGTCACACCGGTCCTTGAGGTCAGGCAGCTGGGACAGAGCAGGAAAGGTCTTGAGAAGGTATAGATTGTCAGTAGTATTTGACAGATGTTCTAGTTGTGTGCTTCTCTTGCGTAGCTCATTTATTTCTTGCTCTAGTTCTAACATGACTCCTTTGGCGTTGGATTCCACTTGCTTTTGTTTGGTGTTGATCACCTCCCTCAGCTCAGCGTGGTCTTTCTGGATTAGCTGAAGGAGTTTGGTGAAAATATGCAGACCTTCTTGGGCTTCAATTTCTGAGTTGTTTCTGCTGAGCTCAACAGCTTCCTGAATCCTGTTCATTTTCTGAATCCGCCCCTCAATCATCTTCTCCACCTCAGCATTTAACTGTTCGATTTGGTCTTTTATTTTAATGCTTTCATCTTTGAGGGGGACAGTGTGGTGTCCAGTGTGGTCCTCTTGAACGCAGGCTGGGCAGATGTATGTTTGGTCTGTGTTACAGAACAACCCCAACAGTTGCTCGTGCTTGGCGCACACCCTCTCCTGCATGTTCATCCGAGGGGCAATCAGCTCATGCTTTTTAAATGTTCCCAGGATATGGTGTGGTTCTAGGTGAGTCTCACAGAAAGAAGCCAAACAGTCAAGACAAGACTGTAAAGCTGGGACCTTTTTTCCCACGCATACATCACATAAGACCAAGGATGAAGTTTGATCTGAACTGGGTTCAATGTTTTGGACCACAGATTCCCTGAATTGTGAAACCACTTCAGCAATGAAGGTATTGACCTTGAGCTCTGGTCTTCTATTGAATTTGTGTTTGCATATGGGGCAAAGACACATGACGGTGCTCTGCCAGTATCCTCGTATGCAGTCACCACAAAAGTTATGGCCACAGGGGGTGGATACCGGCTGATTGAACAGATCCAGACAGATAGGGCACCGGAGCTGCTCCTCTGACAGCAAACTGCCAAAAGTAGCCATAGCTGTGAATAGACAGAGAAACATAGACGTTTAATGTTGTGGTGCACATCCCTCACCCATTTATATTTTTAGCACCAAACCCATGGTGTTACATTTCATTACACCTTCTCCTTTGAGCTGGATATAGTTGTCAAGACTGAACCACAACAAGTTTTACCCCACTCAACCTTTAAGGACACTCCAGCGAGCTCTGCTATTCATGCACGGAAATAATGCAAAAGAGTTTTTCCGGTTTTACAAACAATCTTTGGTCTCTCCTTAATCTTGTGGTCAAACAAGTTCTTTTTGTGTCTGGAAACATAAGTGAATGTGTTTTCCAATATTCATGTTTCATACATTCAACATTTCAATTACACAACTTTTAATTTTTTTAATTAAATACTCACACATGATTTGCTAATCTACTGTAGGTCAAACAGCAAACGTGTTTCAATGTTCAATGTGTTTGAATTGATTTTGATAAGTCAAACAGTTGATAACAAAAAAGCCAACTTACCACAGTGATGTTGTTGCTCAGAGCCTGTAGCAGCCTGCTGTTGTTAATCTTATGGTTCAGGTATGTGAAATTCCCCTGAGCCTGATGCTGTCTCTTAAAGGAACATAGTGACAACTAAACATAGTGACTGCTATAATGAAACTGAGGGCAGAGCATACAGGAGGAGTCATCGAGATGGGATGGGCCAGCAGGGAGACACATGAGGTCAAAATACAAAGAAGAGGGGAGGGTCCGGTTACCGTGGTCAGGCTGCACATCTTCTGCAGGATCAGAAAGGCCTCAGCACTGTCCAGGCCTGAGGAGATGGAGCACCTGGGCGAGTTACAGTGGGTGCTGCAGTTTGGCTCCATGTCTCAACTCCCAGTCTGTCCACTGTTACACACACATCCTGGGACAAACACAAGACATAGACTGCAAGTAAATAACTGCCATTTCCAGAGTGATTTAGCTTTATAGATATGCACTAGTTTGCACGAGTGATGAAAGACCAGTGCTCAATAGCAAAAGGCAATATTGTTTTAAAAGCCTTTATAAAAACTGGGAATTGAGTGCGTCAGACCGTTTTTTTTTTTTTGAATGGGACAATGTACATTCATGACAGCAAATGTTGTAATGTAAATACACAGGATTTAGCTCATGTCTAATTCTTATCCATAGTGGGACAGGGGATAAAAAACAACAATCAGGACACCCTAATAAAATATCCACAATTAAGACAATACATTAGGACAGTACAGCAGACATTATTATAGGACAGCATACATGGTAATCAGATCTAACACAGTGCAATAAAATAACATAAATCATTTAATAACAATAATAATGATAACAATAATACTAATATGTATTGGTTTTATATAGTGGACACACAAAGACTCTTCATATGACATTACTCTTTCAGTGGTGGTAATCTACTCTAGCCACAACTGCCCAAGGGCAGACTAAAAGAAGCAAGGCAAGCGGTATGCGCCATCAGCCCCTCCGACCACCACCAGTCACTCAAACACCAGACTCATTCTAAGCAAGTGTATCTCGTCACTTTACAGCTGCAGACGGCACACTGTGACCTCAGGTGTTCCCAAAGTGTATCTCATCACAAAACTAACCAGGTTAGTTTTTCACATGCAGGTGGCGCCACCACCATTTGCATGTTTAGATTTACTGTTTATAACTACATGCACACACACTCCTACTCCTCCACATTTTATCTTATGATCTATGGTTTTACTAACAACCCATGTTTTAAGCTAGTGTTCCAGATGCTGCAGTCCTTCACAGAGAGCACGTTCTGGACAAAGGTTCCAAAACAGCATGTCACAGTCCTCTCTCATTGTGGATCTAGTGTTTGTCTCACAGTTTCTTTCTTATAATGAATTCCCACAAAGATGGTGGTGCAGAGTCCTTGAATACCATGTACACAGTTTCAGAAGTTTTTTTTTCAAAATGTAGATATTTGTACTGCTGTAGAAGATAACACATGTGAACAAATGATAGTTTCATATAAAGTATCTTGATTGATTGCTTGTACAGTCAGTTTATGTGCAGAGACAGCAAAAGACCACACTGTAAAACACTAGTTAATATACGAGAATCATACAGTGAAGGTCAAACTGAGCTGCCTCTCTTGAGATGATTCTAAAGGACTAAATCAGAGTAGCACCGCCACCTGCTTAATATCGTTGATATTTTTGTGAATGGACTCCAAAAATGTCACTGAAATAGAGGCTGAAATCCGTGAAGAGTGATAATTGGAAAAGTCTGACTCATACTGCCCACAAAGGCAAAGAGCTTAGCTTTTAAGGTCTAATTGGATCCGACTTTCACATGCAGGTGGCATCAATATCAATAAAAAAATAAAAATTAAAAAAGTAAAAATATTTTATATATATATATATATATATATATATATAACTATTGACTATTGAGCCTTACAACTATTGAGTACTAATGTTGACACACAAGTATGTATATATATATATATATATATATATATATATATATATATATAATATATATATATACTTGTGTGTCAACATAAGTACTCAATAGTTGTAAGGCTTGCCATCTCCACAGAGAGGTGCTCTTACAAAATCACCAGAGGTGGAGGCCTGGACTTTATCTGACACAAAAGCCTGTTAACAGTGTTCCTATTACATTGGGATGGACCTTATGTGAGTCTTGTGAGTTTCAGTTGTGCAGAGATGATGAGCTCCTCCACTTCAACGGTCTGAAGGAACAGCCTGCTCTGCCCACCGTTCTGTCACTGCTGCCACAGGCATTTTTATGAGACTGCCCTTGCTGCTCTGACATGTTACAGGTTTAATTATGCTGCGTGGATCAGCCATTATGAGCTGTAACCAGCACCCTGAGTCACTGCAGAGTTGGGACCACCTGACTGGGAGCGAGGGGCAGACAGGTGACGAGCTTGTTATCGAAACAATCACCGTCTGTACTGACTAACACACATGTGAACTCAGAAACACAATCGCTTCTTTTCAATTGTTTAGAGTTACACTATTGCCAAAATCCACTTCAGTGGCTTGTATATGAAAGTGTTGACTTCCTTGTCCTGTCGTCACTTTCCAAGTTTAGATCACCGTTCTGCTGCTTCCTACAGGAAAAACGCGGCACACAGGCATTTCCTCCGGTTTGTAAGAAATGTGCCACAGTAGGAGGGGAGCAGCCACCCTGCTGAGGGCAACAAAGGCTGTAGGACGTCCCGTCACATGGGGTCAGTTTGCATGTGTATTTCTATGGACATGTTTTGACTTTTCAGAAGAGTCTTGAGGTTCCCTTTGTTTTATCCATAAACATATATTCACTCTATGATTTTAGCTGAAGGAAACTTTCATTTTCTCACCTCCACCTCAGAGTGGGGATATTATATCATAAAATATGCCAACTCCTAAACCCATTCATTGTGCTGTCAGTCTCCCTGTATGCCTCCTTTAAGCTGAGCCTATAGTGAAACCAGTTTAGAGGCCAATATTCAAACATTCCTCCATGCTCAGTAATCCGTTTTTCTTCACTAAGCTTAGTTAGAATGCAATTATTAGCATTCAACTGCTCGGGCATACAGTTTACTTTGAAAAAATACAATTTACTTTTAAAGACTTTTCTGATAAAAAAACATAGTAAATCATATTTAGAAGCAGTTAATGTGAGAAGACCAATTCAGTTCTAGTTTAACAAATGAAAATTGTTAGCAAATAAAAAACATCTTCTAATAAGTTTTATCTCACAGGATCATTATGAATCTATACAAAGTATTGTAGCATCTTCTGGTACACACAAAAACTCAGATCATTGGAGAAAATATGCCAAACCTGAATCTTCAGGGAAGATGTGGGATCCCAGCTCTTCCACCTGCTCTCTGGTCCATCTTGTAAACTTTGACAAATAACACAAACAAGAAACAAAAACTATCATAGTCTCATTAATCCCATTTTGCTGGTTTAGGAAGAAACGTGTCTACAGCGTGAGGATCCTGTCACTGTGTGACGGTAGGAGTTTTCATCTGAGTCAGAGAGAGGAGGGAGGAGGGAAAGTAAGTGTGCATTTCTTTTGTGTACGCTGATCTACGTACCAAATGTTTTAGAGCGTGGTGCGGACCTCGTGTAGCCAACCTTTTTCACCAAATGAGCCCTGGCCTATCCCGGGGGACTGGGAGGCATATGGGATGTGCCAGTACATTCATGCAATAACAACTTTAATGGAAAGAGAAACGAGTTTAGACTCCAGATAATCTAATAAAATAATCTTCTTAACTTGGAGCAAGCACAAAGTTATCTCCATTTGTTAGCAGAGAAAAAGGTGCTATTAAGTCGTCACAGAGATTTATAGTGAGAGCCAACACTTACGGTCATTCCAGGTTTGGGAGTGTCACTGCTGCAGCGTTTGCATGTGGGGAAGTGTCTTCTGAGGAAGCATACATTCATTAGCTACATATGGTACAACTATAAATCTAAATGTCACAATAGTGACAAGTTTGTTCTTGATAATAGCAGTTTATTTCCTGTAAATGGCGCTGTAGAGAAACACAAAGTTGTGCTTCAAGGTGAAATAAGGGGTATGAAGTTTAGGAACTTAGGAACTTGCTTAGGAAGTTTAATTTGTGCTTGGATTTTTGGACAACTTCATTTGTCTAAAATGTAGCCAAAAAGCTTTATTTTCTACAATTTCCATATCTCTCATACATATTATTTATGTTTTCTATAAGATGGAACATGTACATGATTTGAAACGTCTCCACTGAGGGACAAATGAAGGTGTGTCGTATCTTAAATAAAAAACACTCTTTATGGATCAAAGGTACAAATAAATCCAAAAAAAGTTTAAAATCAACACAAATTTAATCTTATCTTTGAAATCATCTGTAAACTAAGAGCATTCCCTTGAACCTCAATGATGTCAGCCCTCTTACAGTTAATGGTGGCCCTCATCATCAAGTTTCCTTTAGATCAGGTTCAAGCATACGGTCTGTGGGTTCAAGACACGCTGCTCCAGTGGCAGGTGGACACTACAGTATCTCATGTTACCAGCCTGAATATTTGATAACTGCCCACACGTCGTTTAGTCAAAAGGCAAGAGTCAAAGGCAATATCACAATTGGCTGATGTAATTCAAAACGTTTTGTTCTGGTGAGTTTACACTGCAAAAGGTTATGCAAAATAGGTCGAAAATTTCCCAAATTTGGGTAAATGTATCCTAATTTGTGCACATTTTGACTGACTTAAAACAGGAAAATATTGGGAAATATTATCTTAAAGATACAAGATATGTCTTCCTTGGAATGAGACAAACAGTTCTTGACATAAAACTAAATGGCTTTGTCCCATGGCAAATCTTGTTTTCTAACCCAAATGAACATAAAACCACTTGATTGAAACAATTATGACTTCATATTTGATCACTTTTTGCAGTATACAATGGGCTGTTTCTGCTCATTAAAATGTTTGGATTACAGGTGTGTTACAGGTGTGTTACGAACAGTCTGCTCTCTGACTAATGTGTACACCTAACAAAACAAAAAGGCCTGTATGCTCTCATAACATTTCCTGTTGAGGACTGTGTCGCTGCTTTTTCCAGGCATGGGGGCACCAGCTCTGACAAAACATACAGTTGGATTTTTGGGACTAAATAAATGTTAAGCAGAGAGTACACACAAGTGAGAGCATATATAAACATACTCACTGTTCCATATTCCCAGGACACTCCCCAGTGACAAGCCCAGGTTTGCCCTCTGTAAGCGGGCCTGATATCCTCCACGTGTGACCCTGCAGCTCCTCCTGCTGTGCTGCTGACGACCAAAGCAGTGGCATCTCAGGAAGCAGCATGTAAACGGACTTTGCATAGAAATGTTCTATGTATGTAATATTTTAGTTTCAAAGTTTAAATTCCATAGACCAAGAATAAGTGGTTCTTTGCTGTAAAACTCAGTTTTATAAATAAATTGTGAATTAATTTGTTCAGATTTTTGGGGGGGTAATATTGGAAATAAGAATAAAGAAAACTTAGAAATTATGGAATATAGTTGCATATATGTAATAAATACATAAAAAAAAACAAATAATGCATGTGAGCATGTTATGATACATTCAGGAGCAACATGATCATTTGTCATCACTTGCTTCATTTTATCTTCATATTTATTATTATTTATAAGATCTTGTTTCATGAAATAGGAAGCGATTATCAAGAGGATGCACACCAATAAGAACACTTACCACATGTCTAGTGCTTTCCAATCATTTTACCGCCCTCAGTATTTATGTTGGTGATGCTAAGGCGTTTTGAGAACTTCAATGCACTGTATTTTGCTGTTACACTGTTATTCCAAAATTAATGGAATAAGGAAATTATTTTTTTCATCTTCATACACACTATAGTCAATATTGATAAATTCTGCATTTTATTAGTTGGAAAGACTATTGTTTGGGTTTTGGCGTTATAGAAAAATATTCTAACAAACACTCTTCAGTTCAGTCAAACCATAGACTTAGGGTTAGGATATATACAGTTTCTGAGCCAAACAGCCTTTTCTATGGGAGCTGGGAGAACCTTCGAGAAGATGGACGAGCCTCTGTGCAGCACTGACAAGTCGGGCCTGCTCAGTTTGTTTACCTAAAAAACTTTCAGAGCAGAAACGCACTACCTGCTCTGACTCTGGAACAAGGCTGTGAACAGATGTCCTGCTTGTTTGACTTTTGGGTGAACAGACCCTGCAGATTTATCCATAACCATTCAAGCGCCACTTTGAAATTGTTTTTCCCCCTTCACGTTTAATAAATCAGACCCCTGCTATTTTCACTCAGGTTGACCAGGCTCCTTATACTCCCTGCCTTCCTGTTTTTACATTTGAAAATCTGGTCATCCTTTCTCCTGACAAATACAATCCTGACGTTGAGTATGGGGGTGGCAGCATCATTCTGTGGGGAGGTTTTCAGTGGGAACTTAAAGTTGGGATCGAGGAAAACAGGAATGGAGCAAAGTACAGAAAGATCCTTGGACATCAGACTGAGGCAAAAGTTCATCTTCCAACAGGACAACGATCTGAAGCACAGCAGAGATAACACAGGAGTGGCTTCAGGACAAGCTGTGAGTTATCCTCAGCTCAGCCACATCAGAAACTGGAACCACACTCAAGCTCATTGGAAAAGAACCATTGCAGAAATATTGTGGCACCTTTGCTCATCTACCCGATAGAACTGTTATAAATGTGATACAATCAAAAAGATGTTTAATGTATTTTATATAAAACATGGCAGGAGTACCAGGTGGGATTCAATGACATACACAGAAGAGACCAAATATCTTCAATGTAGTAACAAAACTTGAGCGTTATATATAAATGGTCATTTTAAACCCACACTGCTCCAAAAGGACAAATACTCCACAAGCCACTCTTAGCTTGCTCTTGATAATTTCCCACTGTACAAAGGCTACAAGTAAGAGGAGAAGATCAGAGGCATAGGATACACCACTTAGTCCTGGTAATTGCAGGTGACACTAACACAAAGATCAAGATTAAAGACGGCTGCATCTCAGGTAAATTCATGTCAAGAAGAACTAACAAACATTCAGTACGACAAAGAAGTAAACAGAGCATTATAACAACCTTTTGTGGTAGAACAGAATAAATTTGTGAAATCTGTGTTTTGAACCCAATTTTTATTTGACAGGAAGTAAAAATACAAGTCATCTTCTTCTACACTGTAGGAGGCGCCTACTGGTCAAAACAATGACACAACTCAACAAAAAACTAAGACTAATTCAATTTTGTTTTGTTTTTTAGGTCAAAATTAATAAATTGGACCAGTCTATACAGTCAGAGCCATTTTTGCCATTATATATGAAATAATGAATAAATTGGTTATGGTTGTCAACAATCTCTCTGTATCGGCCCTGAAAAACCCCTATCGCTCGACCCCTACTATATTAGAGTTAGTTGAAAAAGAGAACATTAAATGAATACAGGGGCATAGTGTCTCTTATCACTAAGAGTTGTACTTATTAAAATATATTTTTTATATAAATCTAAAGCATATTTGAAGATAGGTGTAGCACCCAATCACATTCTTCATAAGTCATTTATCTGCTAGAGATCAGTAAAACTAAGGCACTTGCAAGTAAACTAATGTAACATAAAGGACCATTTTATTTCTAACTATTAGATGTGCAATCAGGAAACTTATCGTACTCAACAGTAAGGAAAAACAGGAGATTCTGTTCAAACTCTGCTATAAATATTAGTGTGCATAAAATTCATCGTATGTAGCGGGTCCAAAAGCCCTGATCAGAAACAGAGGCAAAGACCACTGTGGTCGGACAGCCATTGTTCTATGTTGGTTTTCCCGGGGCCACCCGAAGTTTACTTCCTGCTCGTGAGCCTAGATAAGCATTCTTTCACATGCTCACAAAGCCGTGTGCGTTAGAACCTTTCCTTTGTTGAGTACTCTAGTTTTTACGGAGTAAAGATAGCCCCTGAAGTTTTATATCGCACCAGAATGTTAGTGCAGCACCACTTTGTAATTATGAGGGAGTGTTTAGTGGGTCTTGTGCTATCCCAGTAGCACCCTCTGCAGCCGGTCGGCCGGCACGCTGGACTCGTCCTCCGACTCCGCGTCGCTCTGAGGGTTGGAGCTGCAGGGCGACGTGCACTCCGGGGAGCACAAGTAGTGCATCAGCGGCAGCCGGTATTTCCCACAGAAGTCCACAAACTTTATGTGACGCACACATGAATCAAAATATACACCTGGAAAACAGTTGGCACATGCAGTTTAACAAGGATTTGAACGTCAGAAAATATAATTGTTTCTTAACGGAAACTTACCAGCACATTTAGGGTTAGGGCACTTGCTGGCCAAATCCAGATAGCGAAACAAATTGTCTGGCAGCTCATGTTGAAAATATGGGATATTTCGGCTCTTGACAGTACGTCCTGCCAACTCCAAAAGTGAAGGTGGGTCATATGTCATGTCTTTGACAAAGCGCACCACCAAAGGGTTGCCGCGAAGGCTGAGTTCTTGCAGGTGGACCAAGCTGAGAATCTCTCGAGGCAGATAGGTGAGCAAATTATTATGTAGACTCAGAGATCGCAGAGAGTGCAATCTAAAAGTGAAATGTGTTCACTGTTAGTTACATTAAGTATGAAGGAACAAAATGGAGATGAGAAGTTAGTAGCAATTACCTGGTGAGCTGTGGGGGCACACTCTGGATGCGATTGTCACAAAGAACCAGGTATGCCAGAAAAGGCAGATTAGCCACTTCAGGAGGAATGGAGTTGATGAGATTACCACCGAGATACAGCAGCTCCAAACTGAAAAATAAGCATTTTACACCAAATAAATAATATTACGTGCAGTTCTTTTAACACGTAATATGCACCACGTTTTTTCTGCCACAAGAGGGAAGTAACGAGGCACAGAAGCAGAACTTTCAGTGTGTGGTGGCCATTTAACAGACACCTCAATTTCACCCACAACAAATGGAAAAGTAATATTTTTAGTCACCATACACAGTTGGAATATGTAGATGGCTACTTGAATAGTCCTTTTATAGCCAGTGTGAGACATTTAAAATGAGAGAACTTTATGGTTGGTCAGAGCTTGAGTGATCAGTACGAACTGATGACACAGCAACAGTTACACAGGCCATTATACTGTCCTTAGTGGCTGAGCAGAGGCTGTGACATGGACTGAGACAGTGATAGTCTCTAGGCTGGTCTTTCAAACTGGATAAGCCTTGTTAGTTCAACAAAATATCCATTTGTCAGCAGTTAAGGCGTGAAAATAATGAATACATGCATTGTGACAAGTACATGTAGTGGAATGGTAGTTTCAGTTGAAGCAGATTGTCTAAATAATAATAGGGTGAACATTGGTTGATCAGATAGTCTTTAAGCACCTGTTTTTAGTTTGATTTACTAATCTAATTTTGGCTCATGATTACCAAAAAATGTCATATTTTCATGGCCAATGCTTTCAGTAAAACTATGGTTTCAGGCTAGATTAGGATTACTTCAAGAAATGATTTATACTTATAACAAACCTGATTCCTAACAGTCTTAAGAAAACCTTGGACTGTTCTGCAGAGTTAAGGTAGATGCACAAAAGATCATATAATGTAACTTCAACCAAGTTAATCTGGTGATTATCTTTAAATACAACAATCATTAATACACCGTTTTATGGGTCCATAAATAGTGAGAGAATGGGACGTGATATTTCGTTTTGTTTACGGAGAAGCCAAGTGTCCTCAGGTTGGAATGATCTCCAGGTCCAGGTCACTATGGATTTCCAGTGTAATTCACAGGATGATAAGACAGCGGAACTATTGACACAACAGAGAGTCTCAGAAACAACATGTTGGTCAATGACACAGATCATGCACAAGGGCTCTGCTCACTTATACATTATACATAAACTCCAGCGATGCTGAGCAAGAAGCATGAATAACATGGTTTCTCTTCCATCACGTAAAGTAGTGAAGGGAACCATGGCAACGGGTTCAGAGGTCAATTTAGACGTGTGCATAAAGTTGTCTGGCTAATCAACCTTTTCTGTATTTATAATGTAGTGAGCAGGTATTCCCATACCTCTTCAAGTTTTCTATCTCAGGGGGGATAGTTTTGAGTCTGTTTCCACCGAATGAAAGCGACTGCAGACGCAGCATCTGGGTGCACTGGAGAGGGACCTCCTCGAATCGGTTTCCACTGAAGTTTAGCACCTCCAGATGCAGAGAGCCAAAGCCTTTGGGCAGAGAGTACTCGGTCAGTCGGTTGTTCTTTGCCAGCAGTGTCCTTAGCCTGGTTAGCCGTGCAATGCCCTCACACAGGCTCGTCAGCCCGTTATTGCTAATGTCCAGGAACTCGAGCTTGTTAAACTGGCACATTGAGGAGGGCAGTGAGACCAGCCGGTTGTTGTTCAGATACAGCTGCTTTGTGTCACCCTTTCTCTCGTCGCTGACAGTGTCCACATTCAAAGTGCTGAGATTGAGGCGAGACAAATCCAGTACACAGTCTCCTGTTGCAGCGGCCCCTTCGTGAAGCTCCATGTTACCCTGATGGCGCCTCGTGCTGCTGTCAAAGCTCCCCGCCTCTGCCCCGTGCCCGCGCGGCTGAACCAGGACCTGCCTCGCTAATGGCCTCTCTTCTTCTTGGGCCCACTCTCAGTCACATCTCCAAATGTGGGTCAGCACACGGGGCGTCGAGGGCAAACTTCGGCAAACAGTATTTATCCACAGAAACTACAACTGCCTTTTCTGAGGGAGCAGTCTGCGCGCAGCGATTGGTCCATACTGAGAACAGAGCACCGCCCACGCGCTCCTATTGGTCCACCTGACCACCAACTGAAGGTATGTGGATTCTATTATTATTATGTTATGCATTATTATTTTTTTAAGTTTTTTTTTTTTACAACTGTTTATTTCAAGTAGACCCAGGGAGTCTTAAACTTTACTGCCAAATTGTGTCTTGGCTTCATACTATAGACTGTATACTTCATACACGCTGCAGGTTTTTTTTTTTAGACATTATGTAACACAGCTCAACTGTTACATTATGTAAGAATAGTAGAACATAATTTGAATGAAAAACAGGCAAAGAAAAGAGCGGGTGCAGTCGTTTTTAAAAAGTTGTGCAGCTTGTCGGTTTACCTTTTGTAAAACGTTTTGCAAATACTTTTAAGGATGAGTATACTTTTCTAAAACTCAAACAGCCCCGAAACTCAGAAAGACACTTGAGAAAAGTTGTGTACTGGATTTATTGTCATACATACGGTATATTGTCGATGCAGTCTCAACACCTTAAGTGGAATAAAAATACTTACTGAATACAATAGAAATGCAAAGATCAATTTACAAAATGTTTGCACATAATTTAGCTTTGTGCAGACAAAGATAAACTGATGGCATGCTCTTTGCAGGTCTAAGGCACTTAGAAAACCTATTCCTCTCACATCCAACATGCACACAACATGCACCCGGGTATTGGAGCACTACAGGTAGGCTCTTTCGATTAGTGTAGAAATCAACAGGTATTGAATTGTTGCTGGGTTCAGAGAATTCAGTGGTTCAGAGAACCACTACTCTGAGAATTATTCAAAAACACCATGCAAACTTTGGTGTCAGATATGCCACATTGTCATTTTGTATGCAGCCGATCCCACCGAAAACTGGGGGTCTACTCTACGCAGACACAATAAAGTAACATTACAATTATGAGCACCACAGAGATGAATACAAACATAGGCCAGAAATAGAGTGAAGCTATACTATACTAGGTGTCAGCAAACTTACTTAAGATACAAAACAGACAAACACAAATGAAGGGTTTGTTATAAAATACATTGTAGAAAGCAATAGAAAATTAGGAAGTGCATTTGTCAAGTAGTAGCCTCATTGTGGCTGCTGCCCTGCGGTGGCTCCACAAACTAATCTGCCAGTGCCGAATCCGCTCTATTCTCTACCTGCTCAAACAGTGACGTCCATATTCAAAAAGACTTGACTTTTCACTAGTAAATGTAAAAATATATAATACCTGTAAAAAGCCCTTACAACAGGGACACAGTAAATGCCAATGCAGAGTGACAGCACTAACACAACATAAAAACAATAGCAGTCAACGCACGGCCCCAAAGTTCGGTCAAGTATGTAAAGGGTTGGTACTGGGTGCCCTCTCCACTGTAGTCCTAATATTTAAGCCTCCTTTGTGCTGGATTTCATCTTTTCCATTGTTTCCTGTAAAGATACATAAATTCATGTCATTAAGAATAGCTGAAAATTTAGAAAGTAGTACATAACATGATACAATCTTCAACTTTTGTATTATAGCCAAGCTTTGTTCATGATATATTGTTCATAAAAAGTATGCAGAAGTCAGTAATTTTCCACTTGTTATGGTTATCTGAAGGTGAAAAGAAAATTGACCTATTAGCAATGTGACAGGTGTTGGAGAACTGCTATGTTTTTCCTTTGCATAAAACCAATTGTAACAACAATTAAAATGACACAATCCCAGACCTCTGCATCATTTCTCCACAAGGCTCTGTATTCCAATGATCAGTACCTCACAGATGTTACTTTATACTATAATACGTACTTGGTGTTTGTTCAGCTCAGCCACACGGAGGTTCCATTCTTCCTCAGTCATTTCAGCCCCGGTATCTGATGTATCAGCCATTGCTACAGTCTTGTCTAGACAGGTAATATAAAATTAGGTAGATTCATATAAATAATACTTAAAATTGTTAAATAAGAAGGTTACCAGTGCATGTCATGGCAGTGCAGACCCAGTTCCCACACGCACAAACACAGCGGTTGCACTCCACCTGAGTTTCTGCCCCGTCCTCATAAGTCTCGTCCTCCAAAGCACACTCTACACAAACAATGACACGGCCCAGTGAGCACACATGTAACTATGGCAACAATTCATACAATCAACTATCTAAACAACACCAAGAGATGATGATGTTCCCTTATCTGTCAAACAGAACTGAAATAGCAATGTGGAGACGGCTGCTCTGCTGTTTCTATTGGCTTTGAATGCCTCCATTTCCTCTGACCTTTAGCCCACTTTCCTCCTTCTCAGAAAATCTCCACAATGTGGCAAGCCGAGTGTGTGCTGCACATGTTTCTTTCTTCTCCCTCTTACTAAAAGATACAGGGATAGAGTTCATGATTCTAGACTTGCTGTCTATGACCTTAACAGAACAAATGAGTTTGCAACACATTTATGTAGCACTTCCTGCCACTGCCCCTGGTAGGCCCCACTTCTCTTTCACCCAGTCCTGCCTCGCTCCGCCTCCTTCGCTGTGACTTTGGAGTTCAAAAGAGGAAATTCTTTTTCAAGCTTACTTTTCTCAGGTGGATTGAATCCAGGCTTCAGACAGTTGAGGAACTCATCAAAGCTGAGCTTCCAGTCAGCATTATCATCCGACAGCTCAATGATGGCGTCCACACACAGGCTCCTACAACATTCAGAGGAGACCACTGCTACTTATTGTTATTCTGAAATATGACATTCAGGATAACGCATTGTGCATTTAGCATTCTATAGTCTACGTTACATTTTCTATTATTACCAACAAACACAAAGAGTCCTGACCTCAGCAGCTTGTTGCTTTCCTGGTCAGCGTACGACTGCATCTCCACCACAGACTCATTGTGCTGGATGAATTTAAGGAGCTCAGAAGAATCCATCTGAGCATCTCCATTGTCGTAGGACTGTGGAGAGGAAGAAATGATAAAGGCAAATAATGCTATTTGTGATCATGTAACAGTTGTAGGGCCATGGGGACTGCAGTGTGTGCCCACCTTGAAGTATTTGAGCAGGATATCAGAGAAGTTGGAGCCTTTGACAAACCATCCATCTGGAACCACCTCTGTCTGCAGCCACTGGATGATCCGACCTCTCAGTTCATTACGGTCAGCAGCAAAGCACACCACTGTGAGCAACACACGTTTATCAACTTTATGAACTGCATCTTTATGATCACACAGTATTTTTAGACAAGGTCAATGTTTATAGAACATAAAAGTTATCTTTAATCGATACCACATTTCAACAGGGCACACAGACCTGGGCTCGCAGCTGCCTTGTCAGTCTTCTTCTCTGAGGACAAAAAAACAGTGACAAACAATAAGCACTTTTTTAATTAGTTTTCTTTGCATTATTCAAGTTCACATTGGATCTTCTACAAAAAGAGCTAACCGCCAGGTCAATGTCAGTTTATTTTAGATAAGATGACTGTTTGACATGTATGAGATAATAAACCAAAAACAATGCCAAATACATAATGACACAGATAGTGGTAAAGCAATAAATGTATGAACTCATTTACCTATCATCATGTCATTGATAATCCTCGATCAGAGGTCACACTTATCATTCTGAGAAAGTGGCCTTTTCACAGTGAGGAACCATATTTTGTTTGGGCTAGAAGAGTAAACTGGCACTTTGTTTCACCAATCCTAATGTGGTATAAAAGTGTTCAGAGTTTGAATCATGGGAGGACTTGTGATTTCCAACCCTCCTGGATAGCCAAGGAAACTTAATTCCCACATTTGCCCTGTGTACTTTTGTGAGGTAAATGATTATTTGATACTGTGTCTGTATGCTCATACCCTGACAATGTCCATCATATGCAACTTGGATCTTCAGACCAGTGAGGCAGGCGTCTCTGTGGAGCTCGCAGTGGTTCCTGTAGGTCTTCCCATTACTGCCACAGACAGACCTCTTGTGGGGCTTGCAGCTCTATAACAAAAATGTCATCAGGTGTAGAAGGTGTTCAACCATATGCAGCGGCCACTCACCTCGATGCACAGGCAGCTCGGCTCTCCCTTCTCGTTCACGGCGCACTCCCTTCCTGCTCCGCAGAACACATTAGCACACACTTTGCTCTTAGTCTGCAGCTCCTGAAACACAACAAAAAGCAAAGAGTTTTTTTGATTTACTAATTAGTTAATTGGATTTCCTTGACACTCCTTTCAGTCACCTCTAGATGGTGCTGTACTCCTTAAACAACTCAATGTGTTCCCAAGTGTTTTTTATCAAGCACAAAAAATACACAATACAAGAATGTGAAAGCAGCTGCTCTGTGTTGTACAGTTTGGAACATTCACATAACATATACAAAGTAGAAAGATGCAAACTATGAATAAAGTTGCTGTATTTTTTATATGAGTATGTTACACAGATGATTTAAAAAGTGTGAGACACTGTCACTGTAAAATAATACAGACATTGTGTTCTATGCATCTCAAACATATTTGTTTGAGACTTTCTAATATTTTCTTGAACTCACTGACCAATCAGGAGACGCCAAGCGGAGCTACTTATTTGGTCATGATCCTTCTCTCCTGTGTGCGCAGGGTGTTCCCACATCTGGAGTGTGAGCCATGTTTTCCTTTGGGGCCTTTCCCATGCTTACTGAAATCTTTTCTCTGTGATGCCTCCTTCACAAAGCTCCCATTTCCTGAGCAAACCAGACAGTGGGCCGGCCCGGGGTCTGGGCACACGTGATTCCAGGGCGCAGGAGTCTCAGTTAAATCAAGAATTTTTTGTGACTAGAACTCAGCTCATTAATGAAAGCGGGAGAGTGTGGTGTGCAAAAGCTGTAGGGGATATATTATTACCCAGGGTAAGTGAAAATACTGGAAAGTTTTTTAACTCATTTTCATGCATGATTTTGGCCTGTACTCCAAAGCTAAGGTCACGCAAGCTTCAAAGAGGACTGTGAGGCCTTGAGCGTGTGGAATACCCAGTGTGTTACAGATTATTGAAACCGGTGCAAACCTGTGATGGTGACATGAATAATGGATAGCAGTTTCCCCTTAATGCTGTCTGTCCAGTGCTTCCAGAAGAATCAGCATCCTTGACATTTAGTTAATGAAAACACAGGCAGTGGCTCGTTGCTATGGTGAAAGCTTTTTCCGGCCCATGTTGTGGCAGATCTCATCTGCATCAATCAAACAGCCTAATATGTCAGTGGCGCGTGTGATATGGTGTGTAACAGCGATGTGTTAAATAAAGCTTAGAAACTATATAAGTAGGAATGAAGGAAATGCCGAAAGTCAGCACAAACAAAAACAGTGAATGCTGTGGGTTCACCATTTTCCTCCATTTTTATAATATTGAGGTCGAACTTTTTCCCTGCAATGCAGTTTAAAAGCAACAGAATTAGAATGTGATTAAGAATGTAGTGAAAACACGACAGCTTCCAGCATGTTTAAGATTGTATACAAACTAATTTCTCAACATTGGAGGACAGTTGGGGGGCAAGTTATTTTAAGCTTTTAAGAAGATTATAAGATTGCAGAGATATATCCCCAACACGTCTGCTCTGAGTGAGATGACTTTCAGTTCAAAGTCTCCTCTGATATTGAGCTATATCAGTCCTAAGCCCTGACGTATGAAGCTGCCGTGATGAGGGGGCACCTTTAGGACTCTAAAGGACTTTGTATCTTGGGCCAAAATAAAATGTCATTATTTGATTTGAATCGTTGTGCAGCTCTCTCCCAAATGTTACTTTGACTAAAAGTCAGGGTTGGGAAAACGGCATGACTCAGCTTGTGAATTGGGGCAAAATTTTGTGTTATTTAAATATCCATCCATCCATCCATTTTCTTCCGCTTCATCCGTTGCCGGGTCGCGGGGGCAGCAGTCTAAGCAGAGACGCCCAGACTTCCCTATCCACACACACTTCCTCCAGCTCGTCCGGGGGGACCCCAAGGCGTTCCCAGGCCAGCTGAGAAACATAGTCCCTCCAGCGTGTCCTAGGTCTTCCGCGGGGCCTCCTCCCGGTGGGACGTGCCCGGAACACCTCCCCAGGGAGGCGTCCAGGAGGCATCCGGAACAGATGCCCGAGCCACCTCAACTGGTTCCTCTCGACGTGGAGAAGCAGCGGCTCTACTCCGAGCTCCTCCCGTGTGACTGAGCCCTATCTCTAAGGGAGCGCCCAGCCACTCTGCGGAGGAAGCTCATTTCGACCGCTTGTATCCGCGATCTCGTTCTTTCGGTCATTATCCAAAGCTCATGACCATAGGTGAGGGAGGGAACGAAGATTGACCGGTAAATCGAGAGCTTTGCCTTTCGGCTCAGCTCCCTCTTCACCACAACGGTCCGATACAGAGACCGCATCACTGCGCACGCTGCACCGATCCGCCTGTCAATCTCACGCTCCATTCTTCCCTCACTCGTGAACAAGACCCCGAGATACTTGAACTCCTCCACTTGAGGAAGGACCTCTCCACCCACCTGCAGAGGGCAAGGCACCTTTTTCCGGTCGAGCACCATGGCCTCGGATTTGGAGGTGCTGATTCTCATCCCAGCCGCTTTGCACTCGGCTGCAAACCGCCCCAGTGCATGCTGCAGGTCCTGGTTTGTTGGAGCCAACAGTACAACATCGTCCGCAAACAGCAGAGATGAAATCCTGTGGTCTCCGAACCGGACCCCCTCCGACCCCTGGCTGCGCCTAGAAATTCAGTGAGGTGACGTTCCACGTCCCAAGAGCCAGATGTTGTGTGTGCGGACTGGGTCGCCGAGGTCTCCGCCTTTGACTGCCGCACAGTCCTCTCAGCACCGCGCCACCACGGACCCCCCTGCAGATGGTGGGCCCACAGGAGGGACTGCCCACGTCATCCCTTCGGGCTGAGCCCGGCCGGGCCCCGTGGGCTAAGGCCCGGCCACCAGGCGCTCGCATACGAGCCCCCCCCCCAGGCCTGGCTCCAGGGTGGGGCCCCGGCTGCGCCATGCCGGGCGACGTCACTGGACTATTTATCGTGCTGTCCATGGTGGTTTTTGGACCGCTCTTCGTCTGACTCGTCACCTGAGACCTGTCTGCCATGGGAGGCCCTACCAGTTATTTAAATAAAGTAACTTATTTTGCCTTTCCAAATACCAGAGAATAATCATGACTCAAGGGCATATTAGAAAATTCTATGAGTGCAACCAAACGAGGTCTTGGGTCAGAAGGTGTTATTGAGGTGACGTTACGTAGCATTGGGAGCCTCCACACAGATTTCACATAGGACCAGGCAGTGAAGCTCTCTGTCCAATATCTTTGCTGCTGGATCAATGCACTAAATGCACCAAGTGGATCCAATTCTGTCACGCTGCTGCCCGCATTAGCATAAGAGAAAATGATTTACAGCGAACGCAAAAAGATCTTTTGTGGAAAATGCTATATTACGTGGTGAAACAACTATTATGGATTCAATGTAAGCCAATGCAGGTCTGATTGCTTGAACTAAGAGTTCCAATTAAGGCTGCGCAATTTCTAATAAAAAATGCAATTCCAGTGGACGCAAATAGCAAATCGCCAAGACTGCAATTACTTAGGTTCCTTGCAAACAACGCAAAATACTGCATGCATACAAAGCCAAGAAATTTGTTATTTGAAAAAACCTAAAATTTATATTTGCGAATGGAACAAGTATCTTTAGCCTAAACAGTTGGAAATTGCTTGTTTGATTTATGCACTCTTCCTTTGAAAAAATTCACAGAGCAATCACCACGATAATCAGAAAAATCACAAATAGATACTTTGTCAAAATTGTGCAGTGTAAATAGATTTCCCTCCAGCTGCATGTGTGGAGTTTTGTGTAAGTGCGGTACAATTAAAAGGTGAAGGATGGCTCAGTGCCTCCATGGTAATATCTAATAAAAGTTGATCACTGGCAGAGATGAGATTCATAAATGTGGTTGTTAAGCATGGGGTGAAGCACTGAAAGGTATTTATTCTAAAATGGCGGAAAAAAAGGAAAACACAGAGCTCTTTGTTAAGAAGCTGTCAGCGTGTGTTTTCATTAATAATACACTATGGTATTTTGCAACATTAATTATAAAAAGGTAGGAAAGAAGTCAGACAGAAATGTTACAAGACAGACTAAATAAGCAAGTAGAAGGAGTTGACTCATACCTGACTTAATGAAAAGAAAATAGGTCTAGGATTCAAGATAAGACAGACTTTATTTATTTGTCTGAATTTATAGATAAGAGAATAAAAGTAGACAATGGCTTAATATACGTCAAATTGAGCAAAAATCTTTCCCAGTGAATCTGTGGATCTAAAACACTGATGTTGTTTCAGGTGGAACACATGATCTTTTGTGTTACAGTTTGGAGCAGGGGTGTTAGACTATTTTGGGTTTTAGAAGTTTCAGATATGATCAATACCATACATGCCTTGCTACATGTGTGTACATCATTTTAAAGCTTATTTAGGAAAACTAACACATGATTGAATTTAAACTATAATCGTTTAATAAAAACAAAAAAAGGCTATTAGTACAAATCCAATCCTTCTTTAACTTGGCCCAGTTTTGGTTAAATCCGAACATAACTGAGCTAACTTTGTTCAAAAAAGAATCTTCAAGCTTCCTTTCGTTAACAAACAAGAGAGACCTTTGTAAAACATTTTAACTTTGTGGCCCTTTCAATAGTTCCACTCTGGGATTCACACCGGGTTTAGTCTTCATACATTTGGTTCAGTCTTGTGCAGTTTGTGTGGGTAAACTGAGAACTATCACACTATAATTGTTAGTTTTGTCTTGAGCCAAACTGTACAAACAAGATGTAAAAGTGAAAAGAATGTAAAGAATGCACCACGGGGTTAAAGAGTTAGGATACATGCCACAGCTGTGTCCAGCCACAGTTTGTCTTGAGCCAAACCTCTTGTAAATGGGTCAGAGAGGCGTCCTGGTTTTCCGACTCTAGTGCTTACTTTAGCAATCTCACAGCCGAGTCCACACACAGCTGGCCCCTGCGTTATAACGGACCTTCTCGAACCAGGCCTGACCCGCAGAGACACCGCTTCTCCTGTCTGTGCACTTTTTCCTCTCGCTTAAGAGGGACTATGAACCTATTTCCTCTTTTGAGGGATTCGCCAAGCTCAATGTAAAATCTTGACGCACAA